AATTTAATAAGTTGATCCCAGTCAGAAAATTTAAGAATGTGGAAAACACGTAAATATATACCCCGAATCTATCATACGGTGAGTAATTCTTGTTGAGTTTCATACTACCCTGTGCACATTTGTGGTAATTATGTCTCTGACGCTAGTTACTGATCTCAGCCTCAAAACTGTCATAGTATGGCTATGCTAATCTACTCTTAATCCCTCCGGCAAATGAACATTCCAACCACCACTTTTTTTTACTTTACCTACAAGCTAGGAGTCTACGTCATACGGTAGTGAATCATTTGTGCGTGATAAATCGGGCTTGATTCTGGTATGTGTGAAGGTATAATTATCCTAGGTGTAGTGTGAAATATGGTAAATACCAAAGGATGGTTATGTCAATAATGTATGCACGGTCTTAACCAGCTAAGAGTAGGCTGAAAATATCTTTGTGACCATCAAGTTTACTGAGGGTACAAAGGTGTTTGAAAAATTGAAGTGAAAAGATGTAATGGTGATGAATGCCCAGCAGGCATGACGGCAGCCAGATAAACTCGAACTACCCTTTCCTGTATGTCATTACCCTTATGAAACTTACGGCTCCTGCACTTACGATGGCTTTCGAATCCTAAACAAAAGTGGCGACAAAAAAGTAGGTAGCAGGGATGAGGGGACTGAAAGTATAAACTCGCCATATCCACTACCTCAGCTCACTCTGCACCACGATATTTCAGTTTTCATTTATAAGAATAGTAGGCCAGTTGGCCTGTGTTAATCCCTGCAGAAGCTTCCCCTGTGAAGATCTAGTTTCTCCTAGGATGCGTTGACAGAAGATGCTGATACTACTTGCTGAGGTAAGGAGTGCCGGTGGTTGACAACGAGATGAGACAAACACAGATTCACGCTAAGTTCATTCCATAGCCGATTTTGAACTTTCCTATGGTGCCCTTGGGGACAGTCAGTCCTACCAGGGGTGAAAAGATAGAACATATCAGTACCAAAGTCATTAATTCGAAATTCCAGTATGAGATCACCCCGTTTCCTACGGTAAGACAGTGGGAATAAGTTTAGCTGATCTAGTCGTTCCTCATAAGACAGATTCGAACGGCCTGCCACAAGCTTAATACCTACCCTTTGAACACTCTCGAGCGCGTCAGCATCCTTTTTTAGGCATGGGCTGACCACCTGAATGCAGTATTCCAAGTGAGGTCTAAGGTAGGTAGAGTAGAGTATTCTAAACATGTCCTCATCAAAAATTTGAAAGCTCTGCGGAGGCACCATAATATACGGAAGCCCTTTGCTGCAGCTGCATTGCAGCTTGCCGAGGTTTTCAAATCATGACTAATGATGACATCCAACTCTTTTAGCTCAAGGACTGGAAGTAGTGGTGGGCCATCAACGGAATACTGGAAACAATTGCTATGACCAATGTGCATTATTGCACTTTGTTGGGATTGATTTCCAAGCACCAACGTTTGAACTAGCCTACTAGTTCATCTAAATCCGCCTGAAGTGCAAACCCATCTGCATCACTGCGTATGGCTCTCCAAATCTTTACATCATCGGCAAATAACAGTACCGAAGAGTTGAGCATATTTGGCAATTCGTTGATAGATAACAAGAAAAGTAGTGGACCTAGGATTGTTCCTTGAGGAACTCTTCATCACAGGTTTCCACCGGAATAGTGTGCCACTTACCCTCACTCTTTGCTTTCTATCGTATAAAAAGTCCTTAATCCAGGCTTGCAGTGAAGTACCAAACCCGTAGGAGGAGAGCTTTCCTAGTAGTTTCATATGCGACACTCTGTCGAATGCCTTACTGAAGTCTATAAACACAGCATCTATTGGCAACTTGCAGTCACGGGCTGCAACCCATTCCTTCCTTGCAGTAAGGAGGTCAGTTAGACGGAAGTGCCAGTACGAAAACCATGTTGCTGTGGTGCCAAAAATTGCCTGATTCCACTTGTTTAAGTAGCCTGTCACGAATTTTTTTTCTAAAATCTTAACAACTATGCTAGTTAGACTCACAGGACGATAGTTAGACATCAAATGGCGACTACCGGTCTTAAAAACTGGACCTATTATGGCATCTTTCCAGTCTCTAGGGCGATGAGTCTGAGTTAGGGACGTGTTGAAAAGATCCATGACTGGCTCAGCAATAATGTCTGCTAGCGAGGATAGAAGTCTTGGATGCAACTCATCGGGACCTGGGGATTTTCCGGGTTTAAGGTTAATGAGCAACTGTAAGACTCTTTCCTTTGTTGTGAGCACTGTATCTATTGGTGAAACAGTGCTGACACCACTATCTAGCACTTCATCGTCATGATCTACAGAGAAAACTTCACTAAAGTAATCAGAGAGACACTCAGCTTTGGACAGATCAGATTCCTCCAGACTATCAGACTTCTCATCCATCGCCAGGGAGGGGATTCCGCCTTTTCTTTTAGTCTCCCTTCTGACGAATGCGAACAGTCTTTTAGGACAATTTTGGCATTCCCTCACAAGCTGCTTCTCGTAGAACATTTGAGACCGTGTAATCAAAGTCTCGCAGAGATTAATGACTTTACAGTACTCAGTCTTAAATGTTTGCAGTCTAGTTTCTAGAAACAAGTACCATAAACGTTTCCTCCGCCTTAACAGTCTCTTAATGTCTTTATTAAACCACGGAGGGCGATGTGAGGATCGTCGTGGAGTCGAACATGGAATAAATGGCGTCGTTACCTCTTCAAATAGAGCTCTAAACCTATTCCATACATTCTCAATTGATGAGTCCTTGTCGCCGGTCCAATCCTCATTGACTGCGCAATCCCTTTTACTTGAAATGTCCGCCCCTCATACTTAACGTCTAGGGGAGGCAGTGTCATAATCAAACTCATTAGTCCGAAAACCAAAAGTTGGTACTAGTTGGTCGCTGTTAGCTAATGGAGGGAAGTGTCGTAGATCCAGGATGTCTTCACATTGATGGGTTCAAACTAAATGTAATAACGATGGCTTGTGTTCAAAATCGTAACGTGTTGAACATGTTACGTTTTGAACTAAAGCAGATTCTAAGACTGTCAAAAGTAAGTCATTTTCGAAGGAACCACCTGGTGGTGAGACTTTCAGCTCCATCCAGTTTATGTGTGGAGCATTCAGATCCCCAACTATTAGGCATCTGTTACTTCTACTCCAGTTACGTATATGGGTTAGTACGAAGTCATTTGCAAGGCAGGATGGACTACGGTAAATGACCCTGATGGTAGAGAAACCTTACCTTGACTTCAGCTCGGAACTGGCCACTTCACCGGTCCCTCATTCGTGTGCATCGGACGTGACTACCCGTATGTGGACGTCATCCCAGACACAGAGTAGTATGCCGCCACCTTTGTGGCCCACAACCCTGTGTGTTCTTACACTTCAATATTCTGTGATGAGTGGTGTAAAATCCAAATCCTTTATTAGCCAGGTTCCAGTAAGGGCTGCTATGTCAGGACCCAGTTCGCAGATTAGAGTCTCGAGGTCTATCGTTTAACTTCTTACATTGCGGACATTAGTGTAGATCACTGTCGTAAAAGTTCCATGATCCACCCACACATGTTTTAGAAGCATTTGCTTCCAAGACCTCACAACCAAAGAACCCAGCATTGTAAGATCGTTTTCCACATTGATTTGTCGAGCTTTGAGCTCGGCAACAGCTTCTCTTCTTTTATGCGGTGCTCGAGAGGCCAGTCAGGTCGAATGTGAACATCTGAATTTCGTAGTTTAAATGCGTTACTCTACAGTACATCCACTCCTCCCTTGTGCCTAAAATAACCTTTAAAATTCACCTTTCACCAGGTTCTCCGTCCGTCTTCTTACCTAGCCTTTGGAGACGTGCATGCCTGTAGATTTTTGGGTGGAATGCGTCTGATGGCCGGCTTGACTAACTCCAGGTTATGGCCGTGACGTATTGGAGGATCTTTATCTGATGATTCTTCAACATTCCAGAAGATCACACTGGGCGTTGGAGTGGAATACTTGAGCCGTGTGTTGACGGCCTTCGAAACCTTCTCAGTTCGTATCATAAGCTTAATAGCTTCAGTGATTACCTTTGACGGTTTCTTCAAGTGCTTTCTTGGAGAAATCCTTGTGGGTGCGTCAACCACCTTTACAGTCTACGCTGCTACCAGAGATGCAGTCATTTTGGTGAACCCCAGGCATTATAGTTGGTGTACTATTTGCCCTCGGTTTTCCTCTGAGTCGAGTACGCTTCAGAAGTGGTGTAATCTCACCAATTGGATCACTAACTTCCATTGGTCCATTAAGAGATCTTGTGTCAGATGTGTTAACGGTAACACTTGCGGTGTTATCGTCCGATGCCGCATTGGAATGACAGCTATCATTTCCACGTGGCTGTTTTTGACCAGTAACATTCCGACAGTTTCTCGGACTAAGGCTGACGATGGCTTGCAGCAGAAATCACATAATCAGGGAGTAGCTGGTTTGCTGCAACGCTTGCAGACGGTTGGTGTCAGTCAGGTACAAGCTTTGTGGAACCAACATCCATATGCATCACACTGCATACCATGATCAGCTGGAAGTTTAAAGCTGCGGTGTTCACAAACATGATTGTTGCTTACTATGTTATTCACAAATCTTTTTTCGCTAGTACCGTGTACTAAGTCATGTATTCGGTCAAGATTTTGACACAAGGACTAAAGTTGTGACAACACAAAGACCAGAATTAGGCCTCAAAAAGTGAATAAACTTCAAACACTGACTCAAGTAATTCAAGCCAAGGTTTGTAAGAAAGTCTTTGATATGGATTACACAACAAAAGCAAAAATGTCAAAAACGTTGTAAAGTTCACTTTCTGTTTTCAAGCGCGCATACAAAGAAATCAACTGTCTTGCATTAGCTCATGGAAAGATAGTGGACACTTAGCCTAACTGACCTACCATTACAAGTTCCGTCTGCTTGCACTATCGATATTGGATCTTTTTATGTGAGAGGTGTGACCGATATCTAACCCGCTTTATTTGGTTGAAACGTTACATTATGCCCAAGGACGCTAGTAATAATGTAGAACAACAATCTGTAACTAGTTTTATATTTAGGATAAAGTTTTCTTTTTAGTCCGCTGAGTTTTTTTCTCATGATGGTATTTTCACTCTGGAACAGGCCCAGTGGATAAGGTACATATCTCCTGTGGATTTGAAATATTTCTATTAAGGGTCACTAACTCGTTAACGAACCTACAGGTTTGCAACAGCTACTTAGTTGGCGCCACCGCAAAAAACACCCTGCTAAGGACATCTACTGTTCCTCCGGCTAACGTATCTGGTTTGTTCTGTGTTTAATTTTTTGCGTAAAAACATGTTATATTTGTACGTTTGTCTGTAGAGTACAGCAGCGTATTTCTGTAGTCCCATGGATGCTTAATTACATTTAAGGACGTATGTATATGAACACGAGTAGTCAGGTTTTCCGAGGAAAAATGTGCATGTCCTTCGAAGAACGCGGGAGTAAAAATTTCGGGGAAATGTTGCGAAATCGCGCGTTTTAGAATTACTTTCGTAGTCGCGTGATTCTGACTTGTTGTATTGAGTTTATTGACTAAGTTTGTGATGCGTATCGCTTCCCCTAATTCTTTTTTATGTGTTCGTAAACAAGAGGATTGTGGTAGACTATTATATTCTTTCGCTTAGGGGATGAGTATTTTAATGCTGTTGGTATTTGTTAGGTTACTGCCTGAATCATCGCTTTAAGAAACTCAAGTCATGGGATGTTGTTCATTTACTTTCATAGTATCTTTCGAAGTTATATTTGAGTTACTTTTCAAGCATGAAAATGAGACAGAGGCTCTTTAATCTGAAATATTCCTACGTCGTTTCCCCTTGATCGATCACTCTACACCATTTCTGCATCTTCTTTTGAACGGTAATCCCTCTGAATAGTCTTTACCATTTAATTCCACCCCTTTCTATTTTTTATGAGTGGGGGATATTTGTAACAAAATAACAGCATGTTAATTATTACATGAATAAATGACGTTTTTGTTCGGAAGTCCATCTGGTCAGTGACATCGTTATCTATTTATTCGGGTTTCTTGCATATTCAAGCGTTCATTACAATTCATGCATATATTATGAAGTGTACTTCCTGCAGTTTTTCCCTTTTTATTTTATGATTAAACTTTTTTGATAGAACCTTAAGACTTACGGTATTATCTTTGTTTTTTAAACAGAAATTGAAATTAGCCGTCAGTCAGATGATCGCGTTCATAATATTTTTTTGGATCCTATGGGCTGGCATACTATAATCAGTATGCAGTCTGGTATGAACTTTTACATCAATAGAAGTATGAAGAAGGTTCGTCCATTGAATAAAGCGAAGGTATGTCTGTGGGTTACTCTTAACCTGGTAAATGTTCATCTCTTTGACCACTGAAAATGGAAATATAGGAATATAAGATCCGCACAAAACTGAATGCACTGAACAATTGAGATATCACTCTAATTATCTTAGTATTTGTACTTTCCAGTGAATGTAGAACAAAACAAGATTGTTTGTTTGGGATACCTATAAATTGATTAAGACAACACTTATCACAAATATTTTTACACTGATTTCCCTCCCGGTTGGTTGTATGATATAACTGGTTCTCCTATTACACATAGCTGCTTGTCTGAAGTTGGTTTTCTTTTTTTCAACATGTTGTAGCACGACCTTTTGTGATTGATTTCATTTTCGTGTGACAATAACTTCTGGTAGATGTGGGGCGATAATGAAGTATGATGACCCCAGTGTAATCTAATGACCAGCTTCTCAAAATGCATCAATAAAAGTTGTGCGTAACTTTGGTAGAGTAGTGTTAGAAATAGTTTTCCCAATTGGTTGTTTCGTCACTTTGGAGGTAAATAGGCAACCCTGGAGGAAACTGTGCTGTATAGTAGGAAGCATGCTTACGTAATATCAATTCTCTGTTCTTACAATGCCACAAAACATCAGTAATTTACTTCTCTACCTTATTCGGATTTCACTAACATTACGTTTATGCTGGAAGTGTTGTTAATATCCTAGAAGCCACCCCAAAAATATCAAAGCTCAAAGTCTTAGCATTAGATTCATACTGTTCCTGGAAGTTGAGAGGCAAGTAGTAAGCTTTCAGCTAAGATCATTCGACAAAATGTTTGAGTTTAACAGAGGTACTCCGAAACCGGGAGGTAGGAACTAAATCAGTTATGTAATGTTCTGTTTTTCAAGGAGCTTTGAAGAAAGTTTGTTGGTGCTGTATGTTGATTAATAGTTGATCCGATTTGTGGGATAAGGAATACATTAAAAAACCTAGTCAGTGGCTGTAAGATGAGGTGTCAGTCTTAACTCGCGTGTTTCATACATAGAACTAGTGTATTCCGTTGGTGCATTTCTTTGTGACTTGACGTAGAAATTCTTTGGTATTTCCAACAAATAACACGAACGACACTTGTAACTTGCATTCATCTGTAAGAATTTACTAATTCGTCCGCTAAAGTAGATGTTAGATGGATAGAGGCAATCAACAGGAAACCCTGGAACTAGGTTTCGTGCTTTTTGGCACTCGTCAGCCGAGTGTATCTGCAACCTCGATGAAACTGATGTCCTGCCTGAGATTCGAACCTGGTTCACCCAGTGCTGCAATCAAAGACGTTATCACTAAGCCATTCGGCCGTGATTGACCTCCTGTAGGATTGGATTAAGTACACTGATCGGTCACTGGTAACCTATCAATGTTCTTTGCCCGCTGTTAATCGGTTTCATTACTTTTTACACAGTTTCTATACCCTCCATTCTCACTGATTTTTGTATTTTAGGATCATTTATTTGACTCTGTAGCCTGGAATCAGCATAATATAAATGAGTTATCTACACAAGAAATTCTAATTGGTACGAATGATGGATTGATATTTGAGACAGTATTAATATTCAACGAGGATGGCTTTTTTAGTTCAGGGACTGTTGAACAATACTGGATTCAGGTGAGTTGCATATCGTAATCGACTACCATCTATAATTTCCATGCTGATTACTCAGCGTGGTGACGAGTAGTAAACTATTTAAGGGCACTAACTGCCAATTTCATCGGTAGTTGGATTTCTCCTATGAAACGGTTCACCAAATGTTTTGTGTCATGGAAATAAGACAGTTGGTCGAGGTATACAAGCATTTGTCACTTGTAGTGGTGGAGTGCTACCTTGATATCCATCAAAGCGAGTTTATAGACAAGCAACGTGAATGGGATATTATCATTCGATTACCGTTAGACTAAAAATGTTGTCAATATGTGGTGATGAAACCACCTCATGGTGAAAAGCGTTGCTTTGTTGCATTGTTAGTTAAGTATGGGAGATGGTCGGTCGATAAGGTTGCTAAGCCGGCTGGACTGAAGTGATAAAAACATGAACTTTCGATACAAATCAAGCATCTTGAGAACCTGTGCTACAGTATAGACGGTATACGCCTTACAAATATCATTGCAATTTTGTTGAGTTCTTACTGCTGAGTTGTATTAATTTATGGCAACTTATATTGTGATATATTTCTGTGCTGTCATTGCTTTCTGGACCTGAAAGTATAACAGCTTATATCAGAGAAAAAGAGACATTTAGATCGCATAAAGTAATTCAATGAAAAAGGTTTTCTCTTCGACGGGTCATTTTTAGTATCTCCACAATTGTAAAAACAAACACTTAAGTTTATTATTGGCTTCTGGGTCAATACTAGGTTATCAAAAGAAATTTATAGCAGGAAATGGTGAATTGTCTTTGGAGTTAAAAAAAGATTACGTAACCGTAGGTCTTTAAGAAAATATGCGCTTGATTACGGTGATGGCTGTTCAATAGCTCCTACCTTGATATGGTAGTTGGGCTTGGATACCACAATGATCCAACAAGCTACGCTCGTAGAATGCTTGTTCCCTCGAGGTCCTACCATGCCAAAAAGTCTTTTGGATAATGGTAAGATAAAAGCAGTTACTGTTGTAGTGTAAACTACTACGCTATAATGGGAGTCTGAGGGTGAAGTCATATTGCTAACTGAATAGGGTGTGGCAGCAGTAAGGTGTTTCTCTTAAATGTTCAGCAGTGCCATTCTGATGCTGCCTTCCCTACGGCAAGGCGAGTAGGGGGTTAGAAAAGGTCGGCCCTCAAAATAGCACAATCCTCCGTGCCCCTTGATCCTCCGGTTCCAGCGATATGGGTTCTCTGTATCCGGCGATAGAACAGCTAAATCTCAAAGCAAAAATCCTTAAAAGGGTGTATGTGACAGGCCATTCGCTCTGCGGTCACAATTTTTTCTGTGAATAGCTGTCAATTATGCTACGGAAAGCAAAACGTTCAGACATAGTCATACCAACAGGCAACTTCAACCCTCAGTAAGAAAGGCGATATAATCGGAAAGGGTGTCTTGGAGTTATCTACGGAATCCCATGACGACGAACCGACAACAGTGGTCATCTGTTACAATTTTGTTCCGAGAAGCACTTATTTCTAGTCATCACTAATTTTAAGTATAAGGAGAATGTTGTCCAACATGGCATCCACCAACATCATACCAACAATGGATACAGATAGATCATATAGCTGTAAGTCATCGTTAGAGAGGATCGGTGGGAGATCACTGTTGTTTCTCGAGTGTCTTTATGGACTCTGCTCACGCGTTAGTACGAGCACCTGTATATCTTCACTTTATTAGTTAGAGAAAACAGGTGGCAGTGAAGCTGGTTTATGCTCGATTGGAAGATGATAACGTGAAGTACGTATTTAAGGAGGACATAGATAAGCATCCGTCTGAACGTGACAGCAATCCTTATCCTGAGGAAACATGGGGTGATATTAAGTTTGCTGTAGATACAACAGTAGAGACAGTTGGTGACCTACACCCAAATATTAGCAAGCATCATTGGATTACTGCAATATCTGAACTGATCGATGCGAGAAGACTGATTCCAGCACTCTTTGATCACAGTGAAGAGCGAAAGCAGCTAAAACACAAATTGACTAAGAGCATTCTCAACCACTTTAAATAGCATAAGCATCATCAACATAGGACCAGGCATTATTGCGTAACGGTCCGAGTTGCCACACCTAGTATCAGTACATCAAGTAAAAAGGCAGTGAGGCGCAAGATGAAGATAAGAAAATTCAGTCAGAAGAAATATAAAGTACGAGAAGGAAGAAAGGAATAGTGACAAGGTGGTGAGATTCGGTGTAGCATAGTTAAGATGATAATGTGTGTATACATGTGCGCCACTAACTTCGGTTCTGAGCCATATCACCTAGAGCCTCCAACCACTGGTTCCTCTTATCCCCCACATGACTCAAACTAACAATCAGAGACTTAATACATTGATGCCATATTTTAGTGTAGCCACCTCGAGCCATTTCCCAGCCTGGACCCACTTCGGCCAACATTGTGTGACGAGGCAGACGGTGACTAGGCATACGTAGTACGTGTCCCAGCCAGCCATCTCAGTCGATGAAGGTTCACAACCTAGTCGACTGACTTATCTCTTCTCCCTAAACTCCACACCTGACTTCTGCGTTACTTATGTGGTGACACCACGGAATACGGCCTATACTACGAAGACAACGGTGGTCAAACATCTGAAGCCTTCTTATATCTTCCACTTTCAATGGCCATGTTTCACAGTCATACAGTAGAAGAGAGCGGACTGCTGTGCAGTACATGCTACACTTAGTAGACAATCGGATATCACGGCGGCGCCACAGGTGGTGTAAGTTGTCAAAAGCCAACCGAGCCCTTTGTATCCGTGCAGAGATTTCATCTGCCAGTGATCTAGCCACCAGGTGAGGGTTGATCCCACTTCCTAGGTAAGTGAAGTGGTCAACACACTCAATCACTACACTCTGTATTGTTAGTTGTGGCACCGTTGAAGACCAATCCTGGAGCAAACATTTGCATTTGGGTGGTGAAAATCGCATCCCAAACATTCTCAAATTGACACTCAATGTGTTCGGAAGACTCTACACCTTGTCAGCATGTACACTTAACAGGACTATGTCATCTGCATATTCTAGGTCTAACGATAATTCTCCTGTGGTTAGGTCAACGTCTCTGTAATGAGGGGACGAGAGGGAGACCTCCATGAGAATATCTATGGTAAAATTGAATAAGAATGGAGATAGTGAGCATCCTTGACGGACACCACTTGATGAGTATAGCTCCCTGGACAAGTCGCCATAGGCTCTAACATGCTCACAAGTGTTCGAGTAGAGAGCCTTGCCTTCAATAAGGTGATGTACTTACTAGGCATGCCTTTCAGTGGGAGACATTGCCATAAGACTTCTCTATCAACGGGGTCTTCCCAAGCCTTGGGATAAAATATCCACGAATAAAAATCAAAACTCACTGTTATCCGCAAACGATCTTCTTGATTGTATAGTCTTCGGTTATTCTGTAAATGAAGTTCTCTGTTTGATGGCTTTTTTAAATCTCAGTGAAGATATCTTTTATGGCAATTTCATTCTCCATAGTTGTACAATTGCAATTTATACGTCTTTTCTCTATACTCAATGGAGTCAAATGCTTCAGCCTTCATGTTGAGAAATACAACTATTGTTGGGCGTGGGTAAGCGTGTCTATGTTTCAAGACCTGGCGCAGTATGAATAGCGGTGGATGCCGAAAGCGAGAGAGGTGGAGGTATAAACATTATTTAGGTTTAATAAGGATAATGGAAAGAAGAAAATGATAGTGAGTGAAACCATCACTGAAAGAGATGGAATGCTGATAATCTCCCAATACAGTTAGCTGGGACATTGGGTCGAACACCGAACCTCAGTTTAACTGGCCCTCAGCCACTATTCAGTTGCCCAACATTCAGCCGAACCGAACTTGAATGGGACACAGATATCTGTCCTCTGACTATGATCGTAGTTGGGATTGCTGTTTCTAACGTGAAACATTGCGAAGCAGCAGGACCTGACTATTTACCACCTGAAGTTTCCGAGGATGGAGGTAGGAAATTACGGAGTAGACTGACGGAGGTACTATGAAGGGTATGGTCATCATAGGTAATACCGTCGGACGGATCTTCACTAATCATTCCAGTGTATAGGTAGAAAACGAACTCCTTTTACGACAACCATAGGGAAATCAGTTTGACTGATGTTGTATCCAAGTTCGTGGGGTCCATATTTATCCCACACCTAAGTTAAACTCGACAACAACAAACTCAGGAAAACCAAACGGGTTTCGAACCTGGGCGACGGTGCATCGATCAAATTTTCACCCTTCATCAAGTCATTTGAAACAGACAACTCACTGGCGGTCAACACTCACCATGTTTCTTGATTTGAATGTGGCGCCCGACTGTATCGACCGTGAGATGTTGTGGTTGTGGCAGACTGTGAAAGAGTATCGGAAACTAGATAACGCTAATCAAAGCTTTTCACTCGAACTCACGCAGTCGTGTAAGGGTGTGTAAGGAGTAGTAATGTAAAGTGCAGATAATTTATGATGTCCTCCAGAGATGCTCGCCATCGCTGTTACTGCCTAATTTCGTTACAGACATATTAATGCACACAACTTTGGGTACCTTCGAATTGACAGGGGTTGAGCTACTCTATGAAAATTATTTGTTTGGTTCAGAGCATGGTGACATTTTCCTGTTAGTTGAAGACAATATCAGAATGCAGACTCATCGAAACGCCTTGAGTAGGAATTTGAGTGTATTTGGGATAGGTTTTGCACCAGTCAACTATAAGATGACGCTTCGGAATCGGTCTTCAACTACTCCCTGTTTAAGGATAGGGATTGAAGTAGTGGAATTTGTTAACCATTTCATTTATTTGTAGATTAGCAACAACCCAGATACGATGGTTCCTGATGAATTCTCAACTGGAATACCAAAGGCCTGGTCGGCATTTGCCAACTTACATCAACTCTGGTGCCGGTGAGTTATTCCGCTGTCAGGTAAAAGACGAGTATGCTGGGCTGTAGTTCACTCTGTCTTTTTCTATGTATGAGAGATGGCCGTCGAAAGATGATGATATAAGTAGACAACAGGTTTCTGATGACAGATTTCTTCGCAGCATTGCTCACGTGTGGTGGAATCACTGTGTGTGCAATGTTGATATTTGGCAAGAAGTAATAGGCAAGTAAGGCAACTCAGCGAATGAGGTTGTGGACCTTGGGTGGTTGAGATGGCTCGGACGTGTGTCTCGCCTTCTGATTTGCTGCTATGGGCGATGTCTTGTCATCTAGGTTAGGGTGTGGAAGAAGTTGCGCGTGACCAGACTAGGACATGGCGCCAGTTCAGAAAGTTTTTGGCTGTCGGTCTAAGCCATTTATGCTGGTGTATTCCTCGATGTGATCGGAATCACTGGTGAGATTGCTGAAAACGGGTCACAGTGGCGCAGATATATTTACTCTTTGACGTCTCCTAAAGTTTGAACATTTTCGTTAACTTTTATTTTTCAGATTGTTTCTTGTTCTGTATACTTTTGTCTGCTTTGATGTCAGTCTTTCTTTACGTACTTGCACTGTGCGTGCTGTTTTGATGAATGCCAACTTGGACCGATGCACCTTACTAGGTTCGACATTTTGACATGTCTTTCTGTCTGATCCACTAACTACTACTTTCATCTGTTCTCCTCTTCCGCCTGCTGATGATTTTGAATGATGGTGGCACTATACTGCTGAGTATTTCAGTTACCTGGACTGACGACTATCAGCTTTGGGGTTGTGGTTCTGGATATTACATTGAGTTACTGTCTGTTTTTTTCGAATGCTCTTGTAGTGGCTTCACAGATTATATTTTCTATTATTTAAGGATATTTTTGTTTAACCTTTCCATCACATTTAGATGATTAATTTAGGACATAGCGTAACTGGTATTGAAGTAATTCGCTTTCCAACTGGTTCGACTAATGTATTAGTTGGTGAGCCACAACGGTGTGTGGTATTTGCAACAACACCTAGTCGTATGTACCAGTTCGCTGGCTGGATTAATACCAACGGACCAGCAGCGGGTTCACTTCTGTCTCATCTAGCGTCGAATACTACAATAACTGCCAGTGGTTTATCAGGTGCAACAGTTGCCACTTCTGGTCATCGATCTAGTTTGGTAAATGAGTATACTCAACAGGCTGTAGGTGCACAGAATACTGCAATATTTCCCAACGTAACTGGACTTTTCCATGGTGTATTCAATTCGGATGATAAATTGCCAGCAGGTATGCTTTGCGCTCAAAAAACGTGTTTTCTTTCGTGATGTTTCTTAATTTTTGCCAAACCAAGTGGTTAACATGTTCGACTGTGAATGTGACGATAGAATGCTGTACTTTAACCACAAAAAGTATCGAGCGAATTTATCTTCAACTGTTCACTGTCACTTGTTCCTTACTTTTAACTACTTTTTATTTAGGTTAGGGTGCATGGTTTTTACTAAGTACAGAAGTGTTTCGACGCCATAACGTTTTCCTTTGGTATGTCCGTATTATTAGGTTCATCAGTGTTTTCTCCTTCATTATAAGCAGAAGATTGAGTATGACGCCGTTAACTGCCTTGCTTCTTGACTTATTTTTGTTTGTGACAAAGTCCTATGAGGAAGAGATCGCCAGGCTGTATTGTCTGGTAACAGGAATATCTCTGTCGACTTTTTAAACTACTCTTGTGTTGAAGAACTTATCATCCTCTAGTTGATTAGATGTCTCAGTCTTATAAACTTCAAAGTACCTTGGATACCTTAATGAAGTATAGATCACTCACAAGGTTTTAGCCATACAAAATTTCAAACACTGTATTGTTAAGCGCAACTTTAACTGGTTATAAACATCTAAGCCTTTCAGAGTTCAAACTGCGTAGTATGTTGACGTTAGACCTTTTTGGAAGCCAAGTGAGGGTGTATGATACTGTCATTAAAGAAAATAAGCACAATACCACCGTCTTCATTAACCCATGATGGAGTAAGGGACCTATCCGATTACATTTATCTGATAGATTAGTAAGTAGCAACAAAACAAGCCCGAGTTAGTTTTCTCACTTCAGGCAGCCTTTGAAGTGACATATGCAGAGTGTTGAGAATCGAAAACACTTTAGTGGTCAGCTAATAGTAATCAGTGTTGTGTTGTCTGTTCTTCACAGTTGATCAGTCTTTTGGATCAAGTTTATGGTTGGGCCGCCGAAGTTAGACGATTTGAAATTGAAATATGCTCCACATGATATTAAATACTTTGATAGAATCAACGTCAAGCTGTAGTAATTGGTTTGTTCTTTTAAGCTCTCAGCAGCTTCGGATTGCATCTTAAGTTCAGTTGTCATTAAGGATTCATACTACTTTGAAGTAATATCATTCTATATGTGGAACATTTACTCAGCTGCTGATTTTATTAGTTGTTGTTTGGTCGGAAGCATAAATGAAACTTTTTTTCACTGATAACCAACTCTTGTATGATAGTTGACTGACAGCACATTTATGTTCTAGATGTTTTGTGTACTTGACTTCAAAAACAGTTCTGAAGTTGGGAACCTTAAGGGTGGTCAGACCAAGACGTTGCTTCAGTTGATTAAATCCTCGACTATTGGTCTGAGTCGTGTGGGTGAGGTGTAGACTACCTGACTGGGGTCCCCAGACTATAGGAATCAGTATTTGAGGAATCTTGGTGATATGGCTGAAAATCGGTCACGATGGCGCAGATGTATTCACTCCTTGATGCCTTCTAAAACTTGAATATTCACACTAATCGGTATCTCTAAATTGTTTATTCTTCCACACAACTTCGTCTACTTTGATGTCACTCTTTTTCTACACACTTGTTCTTTGTGTACTACTGTAAAGTATGGCATTTGTGTGCGAAGTTCTACATTGAATTTTACTGTCTGTCTATCTTTCGAAAGCAGTTTTCAATATGGAGCGGTGAGACGTTGAAAACAGTAGATATATGTCTTTAATGAAGTTTTTTTCTAGCAGTGTACGCAGGTTCTTTTGTTGATATGACATTTCTGTTCACTGATAATCATGATCTTGCAGATGGTGCATCCGAGCTTCAGTCAACGTTTTGTTTAAATAATATGTCTGTCTTTCAGTGTTAGAAAGGAGTGTGAAGCAGATATGCACCTGTAGTAATTGGATTTTCTATTGGTTCTGCAAAACATCTAATTTCATGATATATACAAAATGAAAGGATTCCATTTCATATACTCATCTGAATTCAGTGAGGTTACACGTCGAAGAATTATAACAATGAATAAGTATTGTTGGCTTTAGAACTAGGAAATCAATAAAGTACCAGTCCAACCTTTCATTTACTTCTTACTGATAAACACTGGTGTGTTGTGCATTGGTTTGAAAGCTTAAGTTTCAAACAACTAGTTCCAGGTTCAAAACACACTGCGCCTATTTCACCCTAGGCAACCGATTTGAATCATAAGCTGTCACACAATAATTGTGGTTCGTAACCTAGTACAACCTGTGTCAAGTTACGATTTAACATCGACCAACAAACATTCTCCAAAAGCATCACTAGTTGTAGACCGTTAGATATGTCAGTCAAGTAGAGCTAATCAGAAACATAATCCAACTGTCTGCTGTTATAACATACAAAACACTGTGATTATATTTTTAATAATGATTGTATTTAAACGTAAACTAGATATAATATGAAAACTAAGCTGTGTGCAAGACAAAATAATCTAACAAAACTGTCAAGTCAAAAAGAAAAATTTGATATGACTACGATTCGTTATGATTAGAGTTATAGGGTCAATAATAGGTTAGAATTTGAAATTGGTTACCAATCTATTATGAAGGTTGTGTTCGGTCCCTGGCTGTGTTGTGGGTGCATACCATACCAGAACGAAGCAGCTATCCAGTACTCCTAGGTTTGCAATGGTTCTCCAACTGGTGTTGGCGCGTGATGAACACTACTTCAATCTATTATTTAATTTTATGTTGTATTCATTTTGCTTTTTAGGTTCTAAGGTGACTGAGTTCCCTGGAAGTTTTGGATACAGTGATTTAAAACTCTATTGTAACCCGAGTGATGAACTTCCCAGTAAATTCGCTTGGATGACAGGTTGGTATTGTTATTAACTCTCTGCGACATCTTAATCGATTGTCATGTTAACTTTAAAAGATGGAACAGGTAGTTGATCAGTGCTAAGTAGTTGACTTGAGTTGGTCAGTCAATGCTAACATGATACCTGGTATTGCTGTGTGAAAGCCCAAGTTACCACACAATCATATTAGAGTACAAGACGAAGAAACGGAAAAAATTATCATCAAAAGTTATAGAAAGGCCATAAGAGCAGAAGAAAGGGGGGAAAGATAAATATACGGATTAGGACCAAGTCGTCAACTGGACCTTGAGATTTTTCCTACTTCTGTCAGTTCGTGGTATAATTTGACCATCACTTGGCATCCACTTTACTTCCGGCTGGTTGACCCGACTGGTCACGGCTCCGCATTAGAAATTCGGGAAATCTCATCTTGAAGCAATCATTATTGAGCAGTTGGTAGTAATTGAGTTTGGAGGTTTATCGGTCCGTGATGAACGTCCCCTTAAAATCAATAAATCCTCACAAACATCTAAACTGAATTACCGTCTAGTGTTCACTAGTCACTTTCTTTGAAATGAGATTTCCCGAAGTTCTGATGAGAAATGGTATCCTATCGGGAAAATTAGGTCGGACGTGAGCACAAGTACTCAACAATGGCATTAGATTAAACTGATATGCTTTGGAGATGTTGACGATATTCTTCTTAGATAGTTGGCGGGATTGTTCAAAAGAGTAGGACCGCATTAAAGTTTCTTGTCAGTCTGGATAAAGTCCCTGTACCTGTTATCGTAAGTAGTCTATATGATATGCGCGTAAGTCTGTCACCGGTTGCATCTAAAGTATTGGCTACTGTCGTCATTCGTAGACTTTAGGAATTGGGTAGGAAACAACTCTGACCGATAGCTGCTACCTTGACATAGTGGTCGGGCTCGGATACCACAATAACCCACTGAGCTATACTGATGGAACACCTGTTCCTTCCTACCATATCATAAACTTCTCTTTGATAGTGATAAAAAAAAAGAAGTAACCGTTGTAGTGTAAATTATTATACTATGATGGGGGTTGTTGGATGGTGTATGAGAACAGTAAGGTGCTTCCCTTGGATGACCGGCAGTATCACGCTGTTGCTGCCTTCCCGACGGGAAGGGACGGGGGTTATAATAGGTCGGCTTCAAAGATAGCACACTCCCAGCCATCGCGGCAGGCTGATACCTGCAACAGGGGTTCAATGTCAGGTTCAAAAAAGCAAAACAAAAATGTCAAACTTACCAGAATGCCTTGTGTGACAGGTCTCAAGGAAATGTCTCTTGGGCTCTGCGGTCAAGCATTATCCCTCGTTTTTGAGGTACCTCAAAAAAAAACTAGTTTTCTGGAGTGTAGGGAGCCAGGAAGTGTCAACCGTACGCACGCTTCCATTAGCACACAAGACCCAATGAAACATAACCTATCCTCCTCAGCTGTTTCCTCTTTTTCCTTCTCCTCCTGATACTAATATTAAGCCTATTACACCTTACCCAACCTCCCACCCTGCAACTATTGCCAACGATCAAAGCCATTAGAACCTCATTCCTGGCCTCCAAAGACCCCTCCCACTATCAATTTCATCTAGGGGCTCTCAATGTCCAAACAAATCAGACAGCAAGCACCGTTTACCAAAACTCTGGAATCCCTAGCCATGGATGCATGTTGTGTCTTTGAGACAAGTACACAGGATCCGAGTGTCGTTATCAAACTGACCTCATCAGACCAGTGCAGTGAATCATCAAAAATTCACTTTGCGAGAACCTAGAGATCCTGTTGCTAGCTCTCGTGAACTCGCTGGTTTAGACATAGCATTCAGCTGTGGAGCAGAAAGTATGCTTCTCTACTGGATACCAGCCAGTAGCCAACTATATACCGTTCGTCTGAATAGATTTGTAAGAATCAGGAAGGATAGTGCGACTAAACAGTAACTTTGTAATCTCCACCTACTCACCCATCATTAGTAGTTCGGATGATGCACAGGATGAATTCTATGAGAAGCTGTTAATTTTTCTACAGAAAGCAAAATGTTCAGATGTAGTCAAAATGGGAGGTGACTTTAACGCTCAAGTAGGGCAGCTGAGCTGGGCCAGTGGGAAAGGCATCTAGGGGGTATTTACGGAATCCTATACCAACGAACCGACAACGGTGATCATCTGTTGCAGTTTTGTTCCTGCAACCACGTGTTTCTTATCAGCGCTAATTTCAAGCATGAGCAGAGATAGTGTTTTACATGGCGTCTGCCAAATCCAAACCAACGATGTACACAGATAGATCATATTTCTATAAGCCATCGTTGGAGAGGATTGCTGCTCTTTCTGGAGTACCCATTTGGACTCCGATCACACGTTGGTACGGGCTCGCGTATGTCTGCATCTTACTGGCTGAGAACTCCGAGTAACAGCTAAAAATTGCTCACAGTGGCGCAGATGTATTTACTCTTTGACGTCTTCTAGAGCTTGAACATTCACACTAATCTTTTTCTGCAAATTGTTTATTTTCCCACACAGTTTTGTCTACTTTGATATCAGTCTTTTCCTACCCACCTGTCTTTATACACTTCTGTGAAATGTAGCAAGTTGAAATGACATACTTGTGTGTGAGATTGCACGTTGATCTTATCTATTCGTTTGTCTGGAAGAAGCAAATGTGAGAAGCAAGTCGAATTTCACTTATTTCATGAATGCATTGATTACATTTGAAAATCAACCTTTGAAGGCATCAGCCGTAAAGGTAGAAGTTTTAGCTTACAGTTTTTTTTTCATGCCACTGTGTGGTCAGGAAGAACCTTATTGGACAGTTTCACTATACTGTTGACCAATCAAAATAAGTTTTTCAACTTTTGACTTCGTGGTTTTATATGATTATTAAGACTGTTGTGTATAAATGATGCACTTTTGTCACAGGCTGTTCCTTGTCTTGTGACTTTCGCGGTTCAGTTAGGTATCAAGCCTAAGTGAAAACAGTCGCTGTTCGTGTCCAGTCCAAGTGTCTAGTCGCGTTGACATCGTTCGTCTATTGATTATTATTCATTTCAGGTTGGTATTGATTATGGTCCGATGTCAGTCCGTGATGAATACCGACCTGAAATCAATAAATAAATTCCCACAAACCTCAAAATTATATTATTCACTCGGTCGCTTCAGCACTTTCATGCTCTCTTAGATAACTAAGCTAACTACGTTAAACGTTTTCTTGATGTTAACAGGAAATTCAATTCATTGGGCCGTATTAGGTCCTAGGATTCTCCGCTATGGACATGTTTCCCTGAGTTTATCAGCGTCATAAAAGCCTTGTGTATCCATTCACTTGTGTGGATAGTTTCAACCTGCGGTTGACGTTAACTGTGGTTTCATCTTTCCTGTTGAACTTTCTCACTAATGACATTCTACGGTTAACTGTGAAATACATATATACTAGGGGTTTGGGTGTCACCCTGAGGAAATATTTACACTTCAAGCATATGATCAGTATGATCTTACTGTGCGAAAACATAAAATTGACACAAACTGTAGCTAATCAGTTTGTCGTTAATGTTCATTAATATAGTGCCCTTTACATTGTAGAAATATGGAGTACTTTTAATAGATCAGCAGTAGTGTGGAAATGTGCTCCTTGTTGTGAGTATACACCATATAAAATCTCTGAAGCCAGATGGGCTTTGAAGGTCATTATTCTATTGCGGGAATTCACTTCAATGGAGTCTTGGAAGTTTGGTTGCATACTACTTATGCCATCTAGAAAAGTATCATGTGAAACATTGCTTTCATATTTTAGACCTGCCTGTATTAATGCTGAAAGTGAACAATTTATTAGTTGGTATTGTGGAATAAAGTCTTAGGAGATGATTTGCAACCAGTGGGTCACTGGGTCGAACACCGCTTCACCTACGGAGGTTTAGGCAGCCAGGTATTAGCATCATTAGCCCTCACATATTAGGTGTGGCCTAACTGCATAAATGAGTACAAAGTTACTGAGTGCATTTCGATTGCTAATGTCAAGCCGAAACACTCCAATAATAGTTAGGAGTTACGCCATGCAATGGGTTATTGTCGTTATATAATACTGTTATTCCTTATTATATGCACAGTATTTGTTTCACTCAATTCACCCTGTGCTTACCAATGTCAACCCCTTAGGTCCTGGTGTCTACTTCGGTCATATAAAAACGGAACAGCTAAGTATGCCACCATTTACAAAACTCTCAGCAAATGAACAATCTTCTGATATGAAGTTATTTCCAAGTGAGATTGCATCTTCTACTACTATTGAGGATTCAGATGATCCAAATCGACTGAAAGATGTATTCTCTGGTCGTGGTGTCAATCTAACTAGGAATACAAAGCTTATCCCCTACCCAATTATTCATATGCTTGAACGACCTGGTGTACCTTTAGGCATCTGTATGACAGAATTTCATCTAATCATCGTATATATGGATCGCGTAAAAGCTGTCAACACTTTGGATGGTCGAGCAGTTTACTCTATGCCTTTAAGTAATATGATTGGTAGTGAAAGAGCTCTGGGTGTATCACGTGATGCAAGCTGTAATCGTATCTGGATATTCAGTAATAATCATTTAGCCCAGTTGAAAATCAAAAATGAATTGTGTAGAATTTGGCAAATCTACTTGGATCGTTTGCAGTTTGATGAAGCTCGTCAATTTTGTAAGGTGAATTGTTGTTTTCTTCTCTATTTGGTTGATGACATAGTCGTAAAAACTATTCATATTTATGTACACATTTCAGGATTCTAGCTTAATATCATTAATCTGCCAATTTGAAGTGAAGCAATGACTCCATTTCTATGGTTAAAGTGTTTCAGTTACCTTTTATAATTCAGTTACTCTCTGGGTTTACGGGCCATATCCACTCAAGAATTTGAAGAGATACCAAATGGTAGCTGGTACCCTTTGCGTTATTTGGGCTGTAGGAATTCAATCCAACTGACTTTCTCTTGGGTTGAGGATGAGCATTCTATGGCCTAAGTGTTTTTTGTGTATTACACTCACCACAGTTAGTGGTACAAATTTGTGTCCCTATGGTGCAATCCAAGTAAAGATACTTGCGATGAGTTTTCACTGTCCAGACAGATATGCAGTGCAAGTTAGGTGCTCTGACTGCTTATTGTTGTTTCGTGACTTTGACCAATACTATAATTATGTTGGTTATGTTGTTACTTGTATTATCCTGTTGTTGATTGGACCGGATCGATCGGTCTGTATTGGTGAATGGGCTCCTTCGCGGGTACTTCGATTTTTGCCTGTCGTTTCACTTTTGTGTTAATGATGAACAGAGGCTAGCAGTGGAATCTATGACGTGCGTTTCGTCCTATTTGGGACTCGTCAGCTGAGTGTACCTACAGCTCAGTGAGTGATGGTGTTCCCACTGAGACTCGGACCAGTAGCGATCATTTCAAATGCCAGGGCGTTCGTTATTCACCAAGCCACTGGGTCTTGGTTATCATTAAAGTACGATCGAGTCTATGCACTGACAGTATCCGGCATATTGCCATGTTAGCTTAATCCAGCATTCTAGATTTAAAAATATTACAATCAATGAAGAGATTAATTAAAATTACGCTTAAAATCACTCATTTCACATCTCATCTCAACAGATTAATGACCATTAATATCATCCACTCTACATGAAGCTGACTTGGCAACATAGCGGATACCGGTGGAAGAGTCTATGTCATTTTAACTATGTTAGGGTGGATAAAGGTGATTTAATACTGTGTTTGAGGTTGATGGAAGTTTGTTCAGACTGTGTAAAATATACTTATGCATTTAGAATACTTGTTCTCCCTTCTCCATTCCTGAGTTCTAGTGCTAGTGAGCACTAAGTACGAATTCATTTGATTCATAATGCGATTCTGAGAACAACGCAGTACCAATGAAATTCATGTTAATCATTATCAAAATACGTCTCAAGTAATCAGTTCATTTTTCGTGTAGAATTACTTTGACGTTAAACGCTTCCATTTATAATTACAGTATTGGCTATCTATTTTATAAGACCTTCCTTGTCAGTAGCTATGATTCATGAAGGCAAACATACCATACTGCTCTAGATCGTTGATTATTTTAGTTTGTAAAAAAAGAAAGTCTTCTAGCCAGTGGTAACCAAAGTGGAACCTGATTATGTTTGGCGTGCGTTTCTCACCTGTCAAATGCTAAATAATTCTTCAGTGCTGTTTTGGAGCTACTCCCTGTTTAAGGATAAGGAGTGAATAAATAGAATGCGTTAGCCACTTCATGTGCTTCAGGAGTCGGATTAACCTTAATGCTCTGATTCTCATCTCTAGCGCCGGTGAGATATTTGACTACATGTTTTAAAGGACAAGTATATTGCGCTGCGGTCCTTTCTGTCGTGTTATACGACTGTGAGATTTGATCGATGAAAAAAGATGATGTGAAGAGATTACAGGTTTTTTATCACAGATTTTTTTGCATTATGATTCACGTATGTCGGAATCACCACGTAAGTAATGCCGAGGTTATGAGAAGGGTACTGAGCAAGGAATTCAAGTCACTGGATGAGCTTGTAAACCTTGACCGACTTGGAAGGCTTTGATATGTCTTCCGCTTGCCGAGTCACCTCCTACCTCAAGACGGAATATTAAGTGAAGTAGCCAGGCCAGGACGTGGCAATAATCCATAAGTTCTCTGACTGCTAGTGTAGGAAGGTGTAAACCGCCTGGCTAGAATTCTTGAGCTGTCCAGTATCAGTGGTTAGAAAGCATTCGTGATATAACCTTAGATCGGTCACAGTGACGCAGATCTTCGACTCCTTTTTATGCCCCGGATTTTATATACTTACACTAACCTTCATCTAATCATTCTCTGTCTCATTTCATATACTTTTCCCCACTTTTATTTTGCATCCACCGTTTCTATGCATACTTCTGTGAAGTGTAACAAATTGAATTGGTGCATTTCTGTATGGGGTTCTACATGGGCCTATCTGTCTACCACAAAATGATTTTTTTCTTTTTAGAAATCCTGTGAGACATGCACAAGATGTAAGTATGAGTGAAGTTCAAGACACTGATGTAACCACTGTAACATCGTATGGGGCACGTTGTTATACAAGGCGAATGTTTCAGTGGTTGTAAACCGTCTTCATTCTTCTAATTTTACTGCTTTTTACTTATTTATAATAGGATTCAAACCAGCTAGATACAATAAACATTCGAGAAGCGGAATATAACTTTGACAATGGAAAGTGAGTATCAATTAATAAGTTATCAATAGTTGTTTGTTTATCTGGATCTCTTATTTTTCATTTGATGCTTTATTATCATTACTAGTAATTAATCTCGGAAATCCTGGTTGTTTCTGATGCAAAAGTTACCTTATTGCCTACAGTCATTAGTTAACTGTACTTGTTTACCGCCAAGGGTACTTATGTTCATGACCACTTGTATTGAATATGAAATACTCTGACAGTTTTTCAATGATATCAGAACTTTGGTACTGCCTCTTCATCGTTATGTCACTCACCAGACTGGGTAATTTAATCCAGTACTTTATGAAGAAGTGAAGGATTTTTAATCTGTTGAAGTTTTGAGTGAACATATTTACCAACCTAGTCCACATATCACTATATAATATAATATTGGGACATTTTAGTGTTTTTCTTTCCTCATTAGTTTTCCTGTTGATTCTCGAATACTCTTATATCATCATGAGCTTTTAGAACTTCCTCGTAGAATATTTTCTTGTGACTAAGACCCAAATATGTATACCTTTCAGCTGACGGAGACGTTTACGTAATTAGATTCTTACTCAAACGTATGTCTATTTAGGCTACCATTTTGTGCTCATATCTATGTACTTATGAACTTCAATCCAGATGATAAAATTGAGTACGTGTTGTCTAGGTTATTTTCATCTTATTGAAAAAACCTATTGATCTAGATCGTTAATGTATACTCCTACACTTTTATCGTCATCAATTAACTGAGTGTGTTTGAAACCTCTGCACTAAAATTAGTGATTGATAGTTAATTATCCATCTATAACGTTCGATTTTGTATGAGTAAGCTCAGCCTTTTCCTAATAGTAAAGATTTTCCAAGGATCTAGTTTCAATTATGATTGATGGATAATGGCTAGCAGTGGAATCCAGGATGCGCTTCTCGCCGTATTTGTGACCCATCAGCTGGATGTACCTGCCTCCCAGTTGTTTGTACAGAGTCGAATCCGGGGCCGATCGCTTCAAATGCCAGAGCGTTATTCATTAGACCACCGAGTCACGACAGCCATTTCTTGTTTGAGAGACGGGTATAGTTTTTATGTTCATTGAATAGAATTTATCGGCCACTGTTGGCATATGGTCTCCTGTGTGGATTGCTCGATATTGGCAGCAGTTCCAAATTTTATACTAATCATAGATAGTGGTTAGCGCTTCTTGGATTCCACTGCTAGCCACTATCTATCATTAATATCATATTTGTAAGTATCGGCAATATCGAGATATTCACGCAGGAGCTCAGACGCCAATAGTGTCCGGTCATTTCGATCCAATCAACGGAGATGAATAAATTATAACGTCAAAGTCTAATTTCAGTTGTTTTGGAATATAAATCAGCCATTTGGGGAGTTTAGAATAAGAAGATAACTTCCGATTTACAACTGGTACCTCTAAATGTCGTCTATAGACGCCTAATTTTTACTAATATTAGTGTTTTCATTACATTATCTGGTTATCCTCTTCACAGTCATGGTAAAACTCGTGTTGTGCAACCGTCTTTCGCTTAATGTCGCTGTGATATTGAAGAGTGTTCTAAGTTCTTACTCTGTGAGCTATCTTATATGCAAGTAGTACACGTGACTGTTATTAGTGAAGGTTTACTTTTTGTTCCGTGATCACGATTAAATTAAAACGTTTGTAAGTAACAATTCGAAACACTTTAAATTACTCGAAATGCTCATGTGAACACTGACTATTTTCTTTCAGTAGCTTATACTTCATTGTACTGCTAAAACTTCAAAAGACAAAGGCTAACTTGTGACTATGAGACAGAAATAAATTATTCTATTTTTCTTAGTTTGCTGAATGGTTAATCTTTCCGGTAAAGTCATTCTGACCACATAGTAGCATAGACAAATAGTGAATTTCAAAACCTTGTACCTCATTAGCCACTGACTTTCTCTTCTGGTCAGTACAAAGCTCATTTTCATTTTTTTGAGAATAGGGATGTCGGTTTATTCTATTGCTTTTCACAACTTTCCAGATAGATAGTACTTACAGATCATCGTAGATTGATGGGATCTTGTAAGTTAACGTAGAATTGTTTTTACAAATTTCGAATGTGTTGAAAATAATGACTATGGGATACTTGTTATCTGACTTAGGGTTATAGGTCAAAGAGACAGACTGTGTGAAATGGCGGTTCTTCATCGAATTCATTCATTCAAAGGTATTCTGAGCGGACTCTGCGATTTTTTATCACATGACAGTATGCTGATAAAAAAGTTTCATCGAGAATGAATTAAAATGTCACGAATTCTTAAAACCACTCACTGCTGCCAGTTTTCAGTGTTTGTGAATACTGATCTCAATCTTATTGTTTTCACTGCGTAAATAACATATGTCGATCTTGCATAGGAAGTGAAATATTCACCTAAATCTACTGAGAAATAGCAGATAGAGAGCCACAAATCAACGCCTTTCTCACCCCGCTAGGTTGTCAGGGCAGGTAACTGGAAGAATTTTAAAGACGTCCTGTGTGGGATGAAATGGACGTCCTAAATTTCAGTTGGCCACTACCCATCATTACCATAAAATTGAAACGACAGGCACCATCAAGGCACTCACGTAGGAGCCTATATAGCAATAGAGACTCATCAATTCGGTCCAAATCAACTACTGGATAATAATACAAACAACAATAGAAATTAAGCATTCGATTTGGAGGTTAGTGGGGATTTATTTTTTTTGGTTTCAGGTTGGTATTCACGGTGGACTGAAATCAGTTAGAGAAACATTGAAAAACTAGGAGGACTGTGTTAGGGATGGCTACTTCTCTTATTATTCCATACTTAGAGTTCGTATATATTTGAACTAGTTTATTCCCGCTGTTTTCCTGTACATGGGTCATATTTCGTATGACCCGTTATCGTTCTGATTGGCTCTTATCTCTTTAAATGTACTAATTATCCCTTGTCTTTCAAGGTTACTGTAAACTCTGTGAATAGGGTCCGTTTCCACCCATAAACATTTCCAGTCCGAGATACTATAACTCATCTGATTTCTAGTCTTTTGATTTCTCCTTGCGAGTTACTCGGGTTGGATCGTTTCAACCCTTCACTGCCAATCGTTAAGTATTTCCGTTCGTTCTCACAACTCCGCATTACAACAGACTGGACAGCTACTTCGTCCTGTTGTGGGACTCCTCAGCAATGCGCACCCACCAGGGGTTAAACTCAGGACCTTCAGGTTCCGCAGCCATTACGTTGCCATTGAGTTGGAGTCCAGTTGTCCATAATTCCTACTTCTGTCAGTTCAAGATTTAGAGTGACCCCCATCCAATGCCGTAGTTAAGTATTTATCTTTATCTCTGTCAAGTGCATGATCACGCCTATTTTTTCTTCTTGCATAAAGTAAACTAATCTACGCATTGTTTCTTGTTTTTCACTTTTTTGTATCTAAAGTTATATACGTGCAGCTAAAATGTTTGCTCGTAGTTCAATACCACTTGAACAAATTGCCTTACGTTTCTGTCATTTATCTTCGGCAAGTTATCAATCACTTGCATCACTGGATACTTTAACAACAATCTCCTCTTCATTAGTTCAACAAGGTTATGAAATTAGCGATGATCACGATGTCATGGAGGCGTTAGTAAAGACAAAAGGTGAACAGCAGCAGCAACAAGAAATCAACTCATCTACGCGACATTGTAAATCCTTACTGATGACTAAGTTGTCCAATCCATTTAGAACAGACTTGTTTTCATCAACATCATCATCATCATCCTGCTTTCTGGATCCATTGAAAGTATTCATATCTGCGAAATTGGACTATTTACTAGAGCAAAAGTGTCCAAAGAGCAGTAAATCAGTGTCTAATCTGTCTGGTCAAATCATTTTGTTATCTCTTTGGCTAATTGAATTACTGCTAACTGAGTTGAGTTTAGTACGTGATCGTCTTGCGAAACAAGATTATAATAGTACTGATAATGAAGTTGGTAGCAACAGTGGCGGTAACGGCGATGTAAAGGTATCGCTACAAATCGTTTGGCCTCTATAAAGCGTGAATTTCGTGCAACATTGACAAATTCAGAAGTGTTGGTGAGTGAAACATACATAATAACATTTGCATTTGGTTATCGAAGTATTTGTCTTATCCAGTCTCTGCACCTTATATTTTATCTGAAATCAGATGTACTATATTGTTGCGATTAACATCTTGTCAGAGATCCATTTTCTCCTGTAGATCTGAAAGTCGTAGAACTTGTTGTTCTGATCTGCACAACTGTTATTTTGACATAATGTAGCCTTAATAGATATTTCACTAGATTACTGATGTGTTGCATAGTGGTAGTGGAGACCTGTCAATATCGAAGCATTGAATCATACTCATAAGAGTTTTTCTCCTATCTGTCAGCTCTGTACTAAGTGGTGATCAGTTGAATTACATAATTTTACCAGGGTTACTAGTAAACCCACTATTCTTCTGTTATGACACTCGGTTTTGTGCCAGTGTCATGATGATACGTGATTCGATTACAAGGTGTTATGTTTTAATAAACACGTCAAATAATAATCTGTGCTGTACCATATTTAGACGGAACAGCATAGAGTCAGTGCGTCATTGGTTTCCCTTTCTAAACCTTCAAATAACACAAGTGAAGATGATTAGTTATAATCCTTCATCTGATAGTCCTGAACATCCATGATTCATTCGCTAATCTATTACCCGCGGTTTGCAAGGTTGTAAATAATCACAGCCCATTGTTTTAAAGTCAGCTCATTATGTTTGTGTATCTGACAGAATGTACTGGAAATTTAAAGAACTAGTTAATGATTTCACCAAACTGCCTACTGAATACAACGAGTAAATAGAAATCCACTCTGTAACCATGTGGGATGGCTAGTTATACTACTTGGTTGCTAAAATCTCGGTAGATGGAGTGGTGTTTGAACCCGTGACTCATTGGTTTAAAGTCGACTCCCTGAATCAATGAGTCACAACTCCACTGCTGAATACAATCAGCAAATAAAAACGAACGAATAAAAGATTAAGGCGGTTCGTTATTGACTAGGTTATCATTCGTAATTACATGGTATCACTAACTGCATCGTCGTATATCGCAACTGAAGTAACCGAGTGAATAATAATAATAACAGAATGAAACACTGGAGAAACTGGATGTGAATAGCGACTGGTCTTCCTCAGAACCTTATTACTTCATTGAGCTGACAAAATCAGAAGACAATGACCGGTCTGTGACTATAAGAAAGACGCTTTATCCGACAGAAATGGCTCATTTATGTGCAACAGTTTTCGTGGACATATTAAAACCACGAAGTCAAAAGTTGAATAGCTTATTTTGATTGTTCAATAGTGGAGCGAAATTGTTAAAAATAAGGTTTTTCCCGACCACACAATAACATGAAATAAGAGTTGAAGTTCAAAACGTCTATCTTAACGGATGATGACTTTATTTGTTGACTTCCACTTAGGCCGCTTCCTATCAGCAGTAACAATTCAAATTTCTTTCTATTTGATGTTTATCAGTTTAGAGCCGCCTATTACTTAATGTGAAAGTGTGCATCCACAAAAAAATGATACTTTTTGTCTTTACAACTGTTAAACTGTGTGATAAATTCATCTGTAACTGAATTCCTTTCTTATCACTAAATGACATTTGTAATGTAATCATATTTTATGTCATAAATGCAGGCAGTGATTTTTATAAATTTCAACTTTATTCTGTATACTAGAGTTTTTTATCTAGCGCCAAATTTCTGATATATGATCTGTTGGAAAGTCATGGGGAAAATGATGAACTTGTTTATTTCACTGAACTGATGGGAGGTGAGTGTGTTTGTATGTACTATTTGCACTATTATTATGATTATCATCACTTTTTCAAGTCACTTAGTGCTTTTAATGGTTAGTGAAACTGTCACCGAAAAGGCCGGTACGCTCATAACGACTAAGGATAGGCGATTAGAACGTTGGGCAGAACACTGTAAAGCATAGTTCAACTGACCTACAGTAATTCTTCAGCTACCCAACACTCAACGCGAACCTGAATGGGACGTAGATGTCGGTCCCCCAACTCTCTCTATAGTCGAGACGGCCGTTTCGAATCTGAAACGACGCAAAGCAGTAGGACCTGACAGTTTACCACCTGAAGTTTTCAAGGACTGAGGTAGGAAATTGTCGATAAGAGTGACGGAGGTATTAAGTAGTGTATGGGAATTCGAGGTAAAGCTGTGAGATTGGTGTACTTCTCTGATTATCTCCGTCTATAAGAAGGAGGAGAAATCTTCTCGTGACAATCATAGGGGAATTAGGTTGACTAATATTATGTCTAAGACGGTAGGGTCCATAATTATCCGACGCCTAACTAGAACTCGAGAACAGCAAACTCGGGAAACCAGGCAGGTTTCAGAACTGGACGGGATGAGGGCTCATCGATCATATCTTCACCCTCCAACAAGTTCTGAAATACAGGCATACTTACCAGCGACCGATACTTGTCATATTTGATGACCTGAAGGTGGTATTTGACTCTGTCGATTGTGAGATGTTGTGACAGTGCATGATTGAGAAAGTGTGTGAAGCTATTCGAAGCTTTCTACTGGAACTCACGTAACCGTGTTAGGGCTTATGAAGAGTCGTCATGTGCACTGAAAATCGGTGGTGTCCGCCAGAGAGGCTCAGTGTTGCCGCTTCTATTTATCTTCGTTATAGGTATACTAATAGACATAATCTTAGGTACGTCTGACTTCACGGGGATTGATCTATTCTCTGGAGACCATCTGGTTGATTTGTAGTACGCCTATGGCATTGTCCCGCCAAGCGAAGACGCTGACAAAATACAGGGTTTTTTTCTGCGTTGAGCAGAAGTCTGAGTATGTTTGTCATGCGTTCCCACTGCACCTGTCAAGTGTAAAATGATCCACCAGGACTGGTCTTTAACCACTCTCAGATAGGGAGTGAGGCGGTAGCGCTCATCAATCGCCCTACTTAGTTGAGGAATCGCATCAGTATGAATGGGCTGGTTGCTGATGAAATCTCAGCTCGGATACAAAATGGCTGGTTTGGCATTTGCCAATTTGTGTCGTCTGTGGCGCAGACTGGCGAGGTAGCATTGCGTGTGTATAGTACAATCAGCATGTGAGCTATATTGAGGTCAGGTGAAAGGTACCAGACAAGGAAGGGAATTCGATCAATGTAGTTGTAAACCTTTAGAAATTGAGGTCGCTTGGACATATGTTACGGATGCCAGACCGCTACCTACCTCGTTGTGCAATGCTGAAAGAAATTGAATCAGATTGGAGCAAGCCTCAGAGTGTTTAAATTAAGACGTGGAACCAGCCGATGAAGTCTCCTACTGTTGATCTTTCGCGTCGTGAGATTCAGGCTCGTGGACTGGAGTCTTGGAGACGATAGCAATCATTGATTGAGAACTCTTGTTGATATGTCTGAAAATCGGTCCCAGTGGCTCAGATGTATTCTTTCTTTGAGATCTTCTAAAGCTTGAATATTTGCACTCACCCTAATTTTCAAATTCCATCTCTTCTGATACACATTTATCTACTTTGATATCGGTCTTTTTCTATTCACCTGTGAAGTGTGGGAACTTGAACCTGTGCGCCTGTGCAATGTTCTAGTTTGATTTATCCTATCAATTGTACTCTGCTGGGTCTACCTAATTCCTGTTAGTTGTTGGTGTTCATTCGGTGGATGGATCAGTTCACTTCAGTATTATAAAATAAAGGAAAGTTATAGGTTTTAAGAATGGTGAATCAAAGTTAACTGGTTGTAAGGATTGTTGGTGATGGGTTATCTTCTGAAAACATCGTAAAATGTAAGCTCAACTATTCCTATATCTACTTTATTTTGTGCCTTTCTTATGCCTATCAATTTTGCTACGCCTCTTTGGGTTTCATTGTTCAACTACGTATTTAATGTATGCAAACATTCCTGCTGTGCCCATAATTTGTGTTCTACTGTTAGAGTGACTGTTCTCAAGTCTAAGAGTTGGTTTTCTCTGTAGTGTTAATCTGGTTGAGTTCATTGTTATTGTACATTCATTATCCGGTTAGATTAGTGTCGACTAACATTTTCATTGCCACAAGTCATTGTGAAAGTAGAAAATATGCAGAGAGATTAGGAAACTGTGATCCAATAATTAACGGTCAAGCGCAAAATGATTGAATCACAGTTCATATTTCGCTGTACACATTTTCTTTAAGTAGCTGCTGTAGAGATGTGGCTGATCAGTTTAAGTAACCGATTTCCAAGCAATGAGTCCCGGATGCAAACTTTGATTCGCTCATCTCAGTCGGGTCATCAAAGTAGTATCGAAAACGTTCATCAACCAACAGAGATCGGGCAAATCGACCTACTATAGCAACGGAATCACAATTATCAACAGAAAAAAAATAACTGATACCCGTTGTACAAGTGGTGGTTCTTGTGCCCTAGTGGCCTAGTGGGTAACGCTTTGGCGTTTGAAGCGATGGGTACTGGGCTCGAGTCTCAGTGGGGACAACACTCAGTGGTTTTCGGGCATATCCAGTCAGTGAATCCAAAATAGGACGAAATCCGCGTCCTGGAATCCGCTGCTAGCCATAAGTTTGGTTAATAGCCTATTAGATGTGACTGATTGAATTGGATTATTGTAGTCGATCATTATGTTATATTGCCAGTTTACTTAAGTAGGCATTTATATTATTTAAAAATATTTCATTTCAATCGCTATGTTGTGCTGCTTGATGATGTATCGTAAGCTGCCTAAAAATAATTACGTGTGTATTCGCAGAGCAAATCAAATTTGTACTATTGTCCATTTTAGATTCATGTCGCTACGTTGAAGTTCAGGTATAAGCTGTGTTTTTTTAGAGATAGGTATATATTTCCATCTAAGGTGATTAATAGCTTTTTAAATGCGCAAAAATAGTTTTCGGATTTAGCAACATTATTTCTGTCTTCTATTCACGTTCTCTTCTAAACAAAGTTACATTGAATTAGTTTACTGAGGTAATACGAGTATTAAGTTCAGTTCAAAAGTTGAATGGGTTATCTGACAGACGAAATTAACGTAGAACTTCGCACACAGAGGTTCATCGGCTCAAGTTGCCCCACTCCCTAGTAGTACACACATAACCGGTGGGTAGAAAAGGAGTGATATGAAAGTAGACAAAGTTGTGTGAGAGGACAAAAAAAATTGAAGACAAGGTTAGTGCAAATATTCAAGCTTTAGAAGACGTCAAAGAGTGGATACATCGCCACTGCTACAGATTTCCAGCTGTCATCAAGAGTTCCCAACCACTGATTTCTGTCGTCTCTATGACGCTAGTCAGTTAGTGTACATCTCAATACACTACTCAGACCAACAGTCAGGAACTTCTTGGACTGGCCTGACTACTCTGAGCCTCGCTTCAACCTAATCCAGCTTCCACTAGTATGTCGGGTCAATGTAGGCAGTTGCTTGGCATGCGCAACACATGTCCAGTATGAGTTATCCACTTAAAAGTTAAGCATTAGTTAAAGCGTTTGTGAATTTGCTTAGTTTATTTGCTTGAAACCCTATTCGTTATACTCAGTTGCAGTGTTAAAATTTGCTGGCGAGTTTCGTCTGCTCTCTATCAACTCACCATGTAGTACGATATCATTTGATTCCTTAGAATTACTTTATGTAATCATAAAACTTAGTTACTTTCTGGGCTTATGTCATAAAAGAGAATTTTAAAGTTTGGATGAAGGCATTTTACTTCCGACGTCAGTTGTTGAGGGAATCCATGTGGCTTATTGACTTTAACATTCAATTTTCAAGGTTCTAGTCCCACCTGCGTCCACTTTCGCCTGGTTAACCAGATAGTAAGTAAGCATCATAAGACATCACACAATGAATGCGTCTTGTGATCGCCTTTTGTATTAGTTCTGTACTGAGCTGAGTATAATTATATTGATTTAGGAATGTCTTCAAATGCCCAACAATAACTTAATTTATTACCCAGCCCCGCATATCGATTGAATTTTAAAATGTTCCATTTCATCTAAGCATGTGAATAGTAATGTGATAGCAGATTCGAAACTTCTATGTGAACTCTTGGCAGAAGTTAGACATACTACGCATAGTTCAAAATGTCCATACTGGTATGAAACATTTTCACTGAAGAAAATATTGCCTGCTTCTATTTGAATAAATTGCTAGTCATTATTTCACCTGTTTTCTTATATATTTATCGCCAAATTCAGATTACCCTCGTCTAGTGGATCATTATATGCGGCAGTGTATGTACAGTGAAGCACTAAGAATACTGGCCGTTCAACCTAACTGTATCATTCAGTTTTATGAGTATGCGTCGTGTTTAGCTAGCAAATGTCCAGAGGAATTCGTTAATATGTGTCTTCGTCTAGACAATAAATTGGAATCTAATCGGTAAGTAAATTGGGTTATCTTATCTTATTTTAGTCGAATTTTACCTATCTGTTCTTTTTACACAGTAACGCCAGGTCCTAGGTTTTCATTTAACTGACCGATCGAGTACTCGTTAGCGTTCATTGGCGACATAGGTTAGCTAGTACCACTTGAGCATACATAAAAAAGTTGTTGCGATTCTGCGTATAATTGACAAAGTATTTGCCTATTACAGCCAAACAAGATATAACTGATGATGACGTCCAACAAGCTATCCTTAAACATTTCCCTTAGGATTTAAAGTTGGAATTCATCAAAGACTGACATCAGTTGGAGAAGTACTGAAAACCTAGGAGCACGGGATAGCTCTTTCGTCCTAGCATGGGACTCCTTGTCAGTGCGCATTCATGACCTTCAGGTTTCGTGGCGTGCATATTACAATTGACCCCCTAGGTTGGAATCCAATGGCGCAGATTTTCCTACCTCTATAAGTTCGCGACAGCGCGATATTCATCCAGTGTCTACTTTGAGTCTCTATCCTCATACGCGACTTAGTTTGCCCCACTGGTTATGAATCCTCGTTAGAACTTCGTGAAATCTCATCCTCAAAGCCGCGAAACTGAATTTCACCTATGAAATTATCAACTCAAACACTTTTGTTTAGATCTAGTCCATTTGAAGTGGTTTATAAGTTTTATTATGCTGTTACATTTCCTGTCCCATAGTTTGTGTAGGTTTTATCAGTCTATATGGTTGTATGCGTGAATTCAGCGTGTTGCGTATGCCACGTCATCTCCGATGGAATCAATTCCCCAAACAAGATTCTAGTCTAAGGCTTTCAGTAAAGATTGTAACCTATTTTCCTTCGAATTGTACTGTTCATTCTTTAGTCAGTAGCCAAAATCATATTCACATGCCGAATATCTTAACGTTGGTGTCTTCTATTGAGGCGATAAACGCAGCAGATGCGAATCTTGATAAGAACATAAATTCCCTCGTTGCATTGGATGCAGATTTTCGATAAATGCCATAAACATTAAACTTCGGATCATTACTTCCTACCAGCTGCCTATGAAATATAAGTTTTGCTTTAATTTGCCTATGAAATTACATTACTGTAGTTAACTGCATATTTCGATTTCTGACTGTTTAGCATGTATCTCTCACGTATCAAATTTAAGATGTTGCTCGAGGACTGGTCTGCAACTACTCTCCTTTTAAGGATAGGAAGTGAGATGGTGGCATGCGTTGATTGCTCTGCTTACTTGAGTTGTATCGGCATGAATGGTTGCTGACGAAATGTCAGCTCGGATACAGAAGGGTGTGTTTGACACTTACCAACTTGCGTTATCTTTGGTGCCGACTAGCGAGATATCCGACTCCCTGGTGAAGGACGAGTATGTTGCACTGCAGTTCGTTCTGTCCTATCATACAGCTGTGAGAAATGGCCGTTGAAAGTAGAAGATATAAAGCGGTTGCAGGGTTTCGATTATAGCTTTCTTTGTAGCATTGGTCGCGTTTGGTAGAATCACTTTGTGAGCGAAGAGTATTAGGCAAGATAGGCAAGTTAACTGATCAGGCTGTGAACCTTCATTGTCTGAAGTGGCGTGGATATGTGTTGCTCATGCTGGGTTATTGCCTACCTCAACGTGCCATGCTACGGGATGGTGGATTAGGTTGGAAGAGGGTTCAGAGTGACGAGACCAAGACGTGACACCAGTGAATGAAGTCCCTGACTGTTGGTAAGAGTGATGTGGGAGATATAGACCACCTAGCTGGGGTCGATGAGAGTCGGTGGCTGAGAAGTCTTAGTAACGAGGCTGAAATCGGTCACAATGCCCCAGCTATATTCACTCTTTGATGTCTTTCAAAGCTGTATTATTAGCACCAAATTTTATCTTTAAGTTGATTATTCTCCCATACAACTTTGCATACTTTGATATGAGTCATTTTACGTCCACTTATTCTTTCTATGCTACTTTGAAGTGTGGCCACTTGACGCGATGCACTTGTATGTGAGGTTCTACGTTGATTTTTGTGTCTATCGAGTTCTGATCAAGATTTCAAGTAGTGACTTCGCTTTCAAATATCTGTCGTTTTGTCTCGATACAGAGAAATACATTGACTACATTCTGTAGAGATCTACTAGTTGCAGTAGACTCTACATATAGCACTTAAGAAATGTCAAAGTTTACTCTTAGATGCTGAAATGCAAGCGGTTAATGTCTGTTAGGCCAGTTTTCGAAAGTTGATTCCAAAGACTTTAAAGTCACCCTCTATTATTATCATGATAATTACCTGATTGTTTTTTTCCTAGTGGTTATTTTTTGTGATTTTATTCCACATTTGTTACTTTCATAGCCTTCTTCCTTGTCTTATGCTGTTACCGCATACTCAAGCGATCAGATATTTGGAGCACATGGTTGAAAAGTATAATTATACCAGTAGTGGAACAAATCAAGCTTTACATCATATGCTAATCTCATTGTATGCTAATGAATATTGTCAACAGCAAAATGATAAATTAATGGTTTACTTGGAAACAGTTAGTACACAAGCTGTTAATATGCGAAAGTTGAAACAAAGACACCATGGTGGTGAAGAAGGGGATTATTATCAATCTTCAGATTTTGATTTATCTGATTTGTCGTTGCTAGACGCAGATACTGTAACTACACCAACTGGAAATATGAATGCATTGAAGTTTTTAACTAGTCAACATGATCAGTTGAACGCAGAAGAGAATATTCAGTCGTGTAAGTAGTGGTAATGTTTACAGTATGACGTTCGCTGTTTAACTTGTAAACAACTTTTCGTCACTGACTTAAATCATTTCTAAGAAGCGGTTGATTCTTCAACTACTCTAACTTAGGACTCTTTCCCCCAGAATTCAAAGTAAAACTTTAAAATGTCTCAAATAGGAAAATTAAGTTACGCTTCATTTGACTCGGAATTCATCTATTGGCATTCTGCATCACCAAGTCTTATTGATATCATCTGTGAATATTTTTCTTCTTGAGTGAACTGCTGTGCTGAATGCGTCTCATGGGATAATCAGAGAGAATTCTTCTCTTCACAATAACTTACTACTGAGTTGCTTCTTATTATTTAGGTTGATATTTCTAGCTAGCTGGTTAGTCGAAATGTCATGGTGGGTGGGAATCGAATCAGCAACATTAATTTGCTTTTTGATATAACGTGATGTAATGAAGTACGCTTGTGTAAAGTTTGAACTGCATATTTGATGGTCGTTGAATTCTTTCGAAATTAAAAGGTGACAATAATAATGCTTGTATCTCTAAGTTAACCTATGCACAAATTTAATGATCCATACTTACGGTTGTTTACGTCATTCCAGGCCTTTCTAGACGGACACGCTATTTATACATTGGATTATGTATCATTCCTTGAAAATATAGAACATCTCAGGGATTTCGGATTGCTTAAATAAATCTGGATGATAATACTGCACTGCATGACAGTTTTCCATCCACAGAGAAACGCGTTGCACTCAAAAGATTTTGAAATGTTGGAAAAGATTTGTAGCTCAGGATGATGATGATGATTTAATGTTCTCTGAAATTCGATGTTTTGTCATCAGGTTTAGTGACATCTTCACCATCGACTTCTTGAATACATTCACACTTATTAAACAATCTGAATCGCATTTTCTTCTATACTTTTAAGGATTTGGAACTCGATAGCTTTTGCTAAGTTGTTTGGCGCACACTCGAAAGTGATATCTTGATACATCCCTACCTCATGACCATTGTCGAGTTAAGTCGGTTGGTATGAAAATAATAGCAGTTTTTACCATAATTCTATTAACCCTTTGGCTCATCGGTCTAAAATGATGGCTCTAAACCCAAGGGTGGCATCTCTGAACCTCATTTCATATCAAAATGTGAACAGTCAGTTGGTATACATAACATTCACACAATGAAAATGTCCATGTTGATATTTATCATGGTTGAGCGGTTTTCACAGGATGTACATGTGAAACCAGTTAACCGGTTAGCTAATTAACAGAAAAGTTTCATGAACTTGCGAAACGTATTGCTGAAAAAATCTAACCAGTTGGAAATCACTCCCACTTACATGCATGCGAACTGAGATTCTGTTGCTTTGAACAGTTCACTTCTTGTCTAAACTCAAAAGACCAAAATAACTGTCCATTCTTTATGTATCACTGTAATCTGGTTAGCAAAGTCTACAGATTTAGAAAGTGGTTTGCAACTTCTCATTTCTTTTAGTAGTACCTAACGTGAAATAGTAATCCTATCATAGTTGCGACTAACTTGCTTGCGGTTTTCGAATATGGTTAATTCTCTTTGATAATAGGTAATTATTCTAAAATGAAATACTAATCGAAAAGCAGCCCAGTGACAAAAAATTTGGGTTATTGTTTTGGAACTTGTTCTTTCGATTCCACTATGAAATTCGTGCTGATGGCTTGGTGTCTTCCATCGTCACCATCATCATCAATATCAACATAGGACCAGGCATTATTGCGTAACGGTCCGAGTTGCCACACCTAGTATCAGTACATCAAGTAAAAAGGCAGTGAGGCGCAAGATGAAGATAAGAAAATTCAGTCAGAAGAAATATAAAGTACGAGAAGGAAGAAAGGAATAGTGACAAAGTGGTGAGATTCGGTGTAGCATAGTTAAGATGATAATGTGTGTATACATGTGCGCCACTAACTTCGGTTCTGAGCCATATCACCTAGAGCCTCCAACCACTGGTTCCTCTTATCCCCCACTTGACTCAAACTAACAGTCAGAGACTTAATACATTGATGCCATATTTTAGTGTAGCCACTTCGAGCCATTTCCCAGCCTGGACCCACTTCGGCCAACATTGTGTGACGAGGCAGACGGTGACTAGGCATACGTAGTATGTGTCCCAACCATCTCAGTCGATGAAGGTTCACAACTGTGTCAACTGACTCACCTCTTCTCTCTAAAACTCCACACCTGACTTCTGCGTTACTTATGTGGTGACACCACGGAATACGGCCTATACTACGAAGACAACGGTGGTCAAACATCTGAAGCCTTCTTATATCTTCCACTTTCAATGGCCATGTTTCACAGTCATACAGTAGAACAGAGCGGACTGCTGTGCAGTACATGCTACACTTAGTAGACAATCGGATATCACGGCGGCGCCACAGGTGGTGTAAGTTGTCAAAAGCCAACCGAGCCCTTTGTATCCGTGCAGAGATTTCATCTGCCAGTGAGCTAGCCACCAGGTGAGGGTTGATCCCACTTCCTAGGTAAGTGAAGTGGTCAACACACTCAATCACTACACTCTGTATTGTTAGTTGTGGCACCGTTGAAGACCAATCCTGGAGCAAACATTTGCATTTGGGTGGTGAAAATCGCATCCCAAACATTCTCAAATTGACACTCAAAGTGTTCGGAAGACTCTACACCTTGTCAGCATGTACACTTAACAGGACTATGTCATCTGCATATTCTAGGTCTAACGATAATTCTCCTGTGGTTAGGTCAACGTCTCTGTAATGAGGGGACGAGAGGGAGACCTCCATGAGAATATCTATGGTAAAATTGAATAAGAATGGAGATAGTGAGCATCCTTGACGGACACCACTTGATGAGTATAGCTCCCTGGACAAGTCGCCATAGGCTCTAACATGCTCACAAGTGTTCGAGTAGAGAGCCTTGCCTTCAATAAGGTGATGTACTTACTAGGCATGCCTTTCAGTGGGAGACATTGCCATAAGACTTCTCTATCAACGGGGTCTTCCCAAGCCTTGGGATAAAATATCCACGAATAAAAATCAAAACTCACTGTTATCCGCAAACGATCTTCTTGATTGTATAGTCTTCGGTTATTCTGTAAATGAAGTTCTCTGTTTGATGGCTTTTTTAAATCTCAGTGAAGATATCTTTTATGGCAATTTCATTCTCCATAGTTGTACAATTGCAATTTATACATCTTTTGTCTAACTATAGTGAATAATTTTAGTATAATTGCTTGTATTATACCGTCGTTGATTTATCGGTCTTTTTTGGCATATAAGCTACTATGTGGATCCCACCATATTACCTATGTTCTAATTATAGTAAAGATGGATGGTGGCTAGCAGTGGAATCCAGGCATCTGCACAGGACCCCATATTCCAATGGAGACCTATCAACTCGGTCTAATCAACGACGGTATAATACAAGCAATTATACTAAAACTATACCCGTCCCACAAGAATTGGCTATAGTGGCTCGGTGGTGTAATGGATAACGCTCTGGCGTTTTAAGCGATCGCTCCAGAGTCCTGGTGGGAACAATATCACTCACTGGTAGGCGGGTACATCCAGCTGACAAGTCCTAAGTAGGACGAGATATGCATCCTGGATTCCACTGCTAGTCGTCTTTTCTATAATGGATAGTTACAATAATTATTTAACTAAACCTGGTAGCAAAGATCAAGTTGAGTGAGGATTAGAAAATTCACAATTGTGATGCAAGGTGAAAATTAATCACTAAGACGAGCATAGCAACCAACATAACTAAACATTTTGAATGCAAATTGCATAATATGTCAAAATAAGTTTGGGTTATTAAAATATATCATAAAATACAGCAAAGCTGTGAATGGTAAAAAAGACAGAGAGGTCGATGCGTTGTTAGCAACTTACTAAATCGAAGGTAGCCATAAAGGTTGTACAAGTGTCTATACTGCACATAATTCCTGTTTTTCCTTGCGTGTGACAAGAGCTTCTGAAGTATAGAGAAGGCAGAAATGCACCAATTTTAGTAAATTTCTTCTCACCTTGTAGACGAGTTTGAACGCTGAATCAGTTATCATGCTATGACCTTTGTCAGCAAGGTAGTCAATTATTGCGCTTCTGATCGATCCATTTGGATCTCTGCAGCTAGGTGGGGCAATGTTCTGTAACCCGTTTAGAAAGAATTCGCTTTGAGCCCACACTTGGCTTCTTATAAGCAGATGAACTGATAACCACACATGCAAAGGGTCAGGAAACATTGGACGACTGGAGAATACGATCCTCAACGTTGACACGAAGGATGTTTTCTTTAACGAGTTTGAAATCTTTATTTTCAAGATATCAGCAGAGTGGTCACCGCTGAAGTCAAGATTCATGTATAATATTTTCTTGAAACTGAAATGGATATCTCTTTTTGTGGCTTGGGTCTTATGTTTTTGTCCATAAAATGTGCTGGATGCCCGTTTTCAATCCAGAACCATTTTGAGAAACGTGAGTTCTTCTAAGCTATCAGTGCTGCGAATTCTTCATATACGGTTGACAGGGGACACGATTAGTGTTCTTTTTCGACTTACAGGTACCCAACTGTAGAAATTCATCATCTGGTCCTTCTATACAGGTTTCCCGTCGATTGACATGAAATGTTGTTCAAAGCCGTCCTTTTAAACCAACCAGACAACTGATACTAGGTTTAATCGAGTACTTCTTGTAACTATCCAATACAGTGGAACAAAAAACGTACAACTGTGGAGAATGTAATCACTAAGAAAGAGATCTTCGCCGAATTTCTCGTTTTCGCTTATATTCTCATGCCTATTTTCAGTAACTTTAGATCTCACTCGATATTTAGAAAGTTGTGTGTTAGTTGTGCAGGCGATCGAGTGCTTATTTCGTACACTTCTTTCCCTTCCCCACTTATCAAAGTTTAAGCAAGCTGACTTGTTTCATTAACCTTCAGATACATGAATTCATTCATAAGCCTGTTTTTAGTTACTACTTTGCAGTCATGGACTGGTGCGGCAAAAACCTTGACTCTCAGTATTTTTGTGAATGTTTAACTGGTAGGAATTTCTTTTGTTGTTTCTAACATAATATATCCGCGTAACTGGAGCTTTTTAATCAGTTCATAGGAACATTGATGGGGAATAGAAGATGGTAGATTGTAATTCCTTTTTAAACAGCGTAATGAGAAGACGAAGATTATCTGAAACATGTGATGTATTAGCGCTATACATTTCGAACAATCTGATCACACATGGACTTGTCGAACTATTTATGTGAAAATTTACGAAAAAGGTCAATGAAGTTAATAGCGCTAATACATCACATGTTTCAGATAATCTTCCTCTTCTCATTACGCTGTTTAAATTTATCAAAGGGACCAGTTGCTTTAAATTCCTTTTTAGTCTGTTTATTAGAAATGTCACAGTAAAACAGTATCATTGACTGGATGACGTCCAAAACGTCTTCCAGACTAAAATGGAGTGATAAAGTATTCTATTTCCTGCGGATCGCTTCCCAGTATTCACCGAGTTGCAGTGCGTAGTCATATATGTATTACACTTCGTGATTCTTCTTTCGGATATCCAGTCATAATTGGAAGTTAGTGGATTACACTGATCCCTACTAAGTGTCGCTACAAGTTACGGATGAACATTTTTCTGAGGAAAAAATAGTTACTTTTGTTCTACATTCCCTTATTATCATCTTACATATAGTGTTGCCATATGATCCGGGTTTTGTGCTTCGTTTATGCAAAGAAGTTGGCCATCTGAAGGTATGATTTATATGCTTCAGATATTGGATATGCATCAAGAAGCCCTACAATTAGCCATTGAATGGGTACGTTGTATTTTATTATGCATAGAAGCTAATTAAATACTATTTTCCAGTTTCATTTTCATATAATGAGTGGTTAAGTTGTGGCCGATAGGAATATTGAGAATCATATTGGTTGACTTGTTAGCTTTAATCCATGCGAGATATCCTACTTCTGATACAATAATAACCCTCTTTTTCTAACCTGGCAATCACTGAGATTTTCTCTGAAGATCTGATAGATCCCATTCAGCAGTATAATCTAATCTAACAAATTCCATGCAATGACTGTGAGGTCATGTACATAGGTCAGTCGAACTACCCGATAGAAGTCAGTTAGATTATCGGGATATAGGAATTTAGCTAAATCTAGAATGAAAGATTCCAACATGGTCAGTAATCTAGAAAAAAACTCGACATTAAGGATGCATGTATTAACACATAGTCACACAATTATTATTATTATATCAGAACACAAACATCGTACATTAAGGGTACCAAGAAATACGCCAGACAAAATGATGTAACACTATTTTGAAGGCAAAGCGAGAAAAAGTGGATAAAAAGAAAAACAATAAGGGTAGAATTATTCAAAAAGCAGTCCAATAAGATACATTCAAAACAAACACTCATTACTTTTCAGCAGCAGAAGATAGAAGAAAGCTACAGTATAACCGCCACCGGTTTCGATTCTGAGCCATATCTAATATCGTCTCAGGCCACTGAGATGCGTGATCTCTCGGGCCCCATCCAGGGGGTCGTTATGCGCCGACAGATGCTAACCCTATACAACTATCCTCCATCCCACGGTGCCCACGTCATGCACTTTTTTGGGTGCAGAATTGTTTCTCAAAGATTTAGATGCAAGGTTCAGTCAGTTAATCTTGAATTCGAAATCTGGTGCATATCCTAAACTGTTAGCCGTCGGTGAGTACTACTTTTTTCAAACACTATAAACAGGATTCACTTTAGTATATTATAAGTAAATTTTTAATGAAGCATATATTTTATTTTTTCCACGATAATAATAAGCTTAGCTCAATATGTTTTCTTAATGGTTGATATTTAAGCCGGTTAATATTGAAGGTGAAATGGAAATTTGGATTGCGCCCGGATTCGAACTAGTGACCGTCAGGTTTCCGGCCCGCTGCTCTACCAACTGAGTTACTGGACCTCTCGGATGGTCAAAATGATAATTAATAGCTGATGCTAACTTACGTCTTTAAATGACACTATTCAACTTCCCTCTGTATGGCAGTGTGATATGGACGCTTTTCTTGAGAACCGTGTATAGGGTTGGCTTCGGTGCTAACTGACCTCTATCTACAACGGTTTATAAAGTTAAACAGATTTCTATTTTCCACTAGTGTTTTGGTCAGTAATTTGATGTCTTCATCCATCGTATCTGATGTACTGATACGATAGATCCCATTAAACAGGGATTTTATCAGACCTCACTTGTATTGCATTGGACAAAGCTGTGGAAATTCAGGTATTGTCCTGTCCATGTAGGCTTTCTGTAAACTGACCATCTTATTGAGCCATCTTCTCGTCAACTCCGGAGTATGTCGAAGAATGGTAGATGAATATTATTCTCTTTCTCACAAGTCGGGCTGATGTGAGTTTGTACGGTATTAAATCCTTTTAGTGGACAAACCATATCCTCATGCCTCTCACAAATCACTATGATGTCATCGACATGTCTCCTGTAAAGAGGAACTTTAGCTATGAGATCACCAGCCAGATTTTCAATATGTGACATATAAATATCAGCTAGTAGTGATCCTGAGGGACTACTCATAGCTACACCGTCAACTTGTCGAAAGCGTTTACCTTCAAATGTGAAGTGGACTTTGTTGTCGGTACACCGCAATAATAGCTCCTTCAGAAAGGTTGGAGTAATAGGAAATGGGAGGTTTCTAGAAGATATATAGTCACAGGGAATGTTAACAGTCTTGGACAACGACACATTAGTGAATAAAGAATTTACATCGAAAAAGTACGATCTGTTTCCATTACGGTTAGTCGTAATTATTCGTAGGTCTTTATTCTCCTCATCTTGTAGTTCACTGTAAGATATCATGATGAGCATTGTATGTGACAAAATAAACGGGACTCATCAATATTATACTTTGCGTCAAAAACTTCAGAATAAACTGTTAACGTTATCACCAGAAGTGCAACAGTTCGCTAGTTTTCGTTATACATGAACGTTATTCAGATAACGAACTGCACGTGGCAGAAGTTCTTGATATGATGGAAAGTATCTGTAACAGGAGGATAATTTAATATTGTGTTCTCTGAGCTGGATGACTTAATCATTGTCATTCTACATATCACCAGCACAAACTTCAGGAGGAAGTGAGCTTATAGGTTTTCTCCATAATTTATGTAGTACATTGTTCCGATCGCCTTGTGTATGATTGGTTGTTTCTACCAAAATCTTGTCATTGTCTCCATATTTATTTTAATTGGTTGTCCTGATGACTTGAAATGTGACCTTCTTGTTGTTTCTTATTGGTTGATAGGTTGAGTCTGTTGATTGCTGACTAACCTGAATATTATCCAGCTTCTAAAATTTCTTTGTATTTTTCTTATCCGGGGTTTTTTACATTTTCCCAGTCAAATTCATGTCCACAGTTGTCCGTATGCGTGTATGTGTATATGCGCGAAGGTATGCCATAATGCTTCACTGCTAGTTGATGTTCATGTAGACGGATACGAGGAGGGTGACCACTGTGTGCGATACAGTATTTTTCCCAGTTTCTACAGCTTATTCTGTGAATAACATCTGATTTGTCTTCCTTTGCCAATGCATCTTTTGGCTGACATAACAGAGTGTGAAGAGATTTTATAGGTTTGTGAGATACAGTGATTCCAAAAGGCTTCACTAATCTAGTTTTCATCTGAGAGACGTTCTTCATGTAGGGTCAGACAGTCCGTTTGTTGGCTTTTGAGGTTGACTCCTTTGTTGACGACAAATTATACAAACATCTTTTGTTGTGTAGAATGACCATGAAGGCTTGAGGGTTAAACCATCCAGCTCAGAAAACATAACACCAAAAGTGACAGCAGCTCATTCAAGAAGACTGGAGAAAGCCATGTGTTTACTGCATTTTGTGGAAATGACTGTTTTATTAGCAATTTTATCCAAAGTTTTTTATCTCATTCACCGTCAGGTATAACTGTGTGTTCAATGTCATCTTATTTTGCCTTAGCATCATTCTGAAAATCATATCTGTGCTGTTGAAACCTTTTAAAATCCCAGAGATCCACCCCAGCCACAAAATCTTTTCTTTCGAGCTTATTTTGCATCAAATAGGGCGACAACGAACCTCGCCTGGTTAACTAGTTCACTAGTTACTAGCCCTTCCTAAGCCCGGGTAAAGAGGGAAGGTTGGGCATAGGGCTAGCAACCCTACCCCGGAAAACAAATCTAACTGCTAAACAAACTTCAAAGCACAAACGAAATATAAAAAATAATAACAAAATTATTCCTCGCTGGAATCGGAGAGACGAAATGACGCCAGTTGGTGAAAGCCTTCGGGAAGCCAATTGGCCCATGTGTCTGTGCTTCTCTCGATGAAAGCGAAAGTAAACATGGGGACATGGAATGTCCGCACCATGTTTGAACCCAGCAAGGCAGCCCAGATTGCAAACGAGATGAAGAGGTATCACATTGAAGTGCTTGGAATTTGCGAAAGCAGATGGAATGGGAGTGGATTCTCCAAACTGTCAACTGGAGAATCAATAATCTACTCCGATATTGTCACCCAGATGACAACCACGAGCACACTGAGTTATGGAGTGGCTATCATGATGTCCCCAAGAGCATCGAAGGCTCTCATACAGTGGGAACCAATCTCCTCCAGGATCATGACAGCAAGGTTCAACTCAAAAGGAAGGAAGGTCACAATCATACAATGCTATGCACCTACAAATAATGCAGGGCAAGAGAAAGAGGAGGAATTCTACAGACAACTGCAATCAACACTGGACAAGACCCCAGATGGTGACATCAAAATTCTAATGGATGGGGTGACATGAATGCCAAACTGGGAGGGGACAACACAGGAAGAGAACTAACCATGGGTCGAGAAGCGCTCGGTGAGGTGATGAACGAGAATGGAGAATTGTTTGCAGAATTCTGTGCATTCAACGATTTGGTGATTGGAGTGGGGCAGTGTGTTCAAGCACAAGGATATCCACAAACCGACATGGATTTCACCAGACACCAGGACACACTAAAACTCACATCAACTTTATCTCAATCTCAGGAAAGTGGAGATGCAGTCTACTTGACACAAGATCAGATGAAGAACAGGAGCAGATGTAGGTTCAGACCACTATCTAGTGCGAGGAACCTTCCAAATCAAGTTGAAAGCCTTCAAGGAAGCTGGTGATAGATCACAGTTCAAGTACAACACTCGGAAAGTGAAGGACGAAACTACAAAGGAAATCTTCACGGCAGCCAGCCATCAAGACAAAATGAGAGATATCGAGGAACATCCCTGAAGAAACCTGTGTGGAAGAACACTGGAAGTCTTTGAAAGCTATGTGGAAAGAAACCTGTACAGCCGTATTAGGAAGGAAGAAGGTGGAAGACAAGGAATGGATCTCGACGGATCACCTGGAAGCTGATAGATGAGGGAGAGGAGGATGGTGAAGCAGAAGATGAACCAGTGCAAGGATGCTCAACGACAAGAGGAACTGAGCACAATGTATCAAACACTGGACAAAGAAGTGAAGAAGAGTGCACGCAAAGACAAAAGACACTTCTACAAAACACTGGCAAGTGAAGCAGAACAGGCTGCAGGTAGGAGAGACAGTCCTGACGACATTGTATCAAATAACCAGGTTGCTATCAGGGAAGAGATCAACACAGATGAAACCAATAGAAGATGAAGAAGGAAATTTAATTACGAAAGAAGAGAAACAGAGGAAACAATGGGCCGACCACTTCAAGAAGCTCTTGAATCGACCACCACCACCACCTGCACTTCGTCCAGAAATACCACCTACAGCCGCTGAATTACAAGTGGACATAAATCCTCCAACAAAAATGGAAGTCCTGAACACCATAAAGCTACTGAAATGTGGGAAAGCAGCAGGACCAGACGGGATACCGCCAGAAGCACTGAGAACAGACGCAGAGACAACAGCAGACATGCTCACACCACACCACTATTACAGAAGGTGTGGAAGGAAGAGAAGGTACCTGGCTAGTGATTGGAAGAAGGGTTACCTTATCAAACTGCCGAAGAAGGGAGACCTAAGTGATTGCAAAAACTGGTGAGGAATCATGCTCCTGTCCACACAAAGCAACCAAAATATCAAGCCACATCATCTTGGAGAGGCTTAAGGATGCACTGGATTCGAAACTATGACCGGAACAGGCAGGCTTCAGGAAGTACAAATCATGTGCAGACCGAATTGCAACGCTACACTGCTCATCATCATAGAACAGAGTATAGAATGGCAGTCAACTCTCAACCTCAACTTCATCGACTTTGAGAAGGCCTTTGACAGCGTCGACCGAGAAGTAATTTGGAAACTGCTTCATTACTATGGAGTACCGCAAACCTTTATCAGCCTCATACAACAACTATATGAAGACGTCATATGCCAAGTAATTCACAATGGGAAGGTGAGTGATGCTTTTGAAGTGAAGACAGGAGTGAAACAAGGTTGCCTACTATCCCCAATGATATTCCTGATTGTGGTGGACTGGATCATGCAGCAAACAGTGGGGAGCGAGAAGAGGGGGATACACTGGACTGCGGAAAAGAACCTAGAAGACTTGGATTTCGCCAATGATGACTTGTGCCTGATGTCACATAAACTTGAAGATCTGCAGGCAAAAACTAACAAGTTGACAGAAGAGGCAGCGAAGGAAGACGGGACTTTAAGTGAATATAGAGAAGACAGAGGTGATGAAGATACCGCACAAACAACCCCTAACAACAACAACAACAAACTCCAATCACCGTCAACGGGAGAAACTTAAAGGAAGTAACCTCCTTCACCTATCTAGGAAGCACTATTTCAACTACAGGCGGGACGGACGAGGATGTCAAAGTCAGAATCAGAAAAGCAAGACAGGCGTTGATTAGCCTGAAACCAGTGTGGAGATCTTCTGCACTCAGCCTGCGGAACAAGATACGGATTTTCAACACCAACGTCAAGTCAATGCTCTTGTATGGTTCAGAGACTTGGCGCGTTACGAAAGGGCTTTCCAATAAACTACAGACATTCATCAACAACTGCCTACACTGGCTCGCTACTGGAGATCAGATGGCCAGAAAGAATAAGCAACAAGGAGCTCTGGGAACGAACCAACCAAGAAGCTATCGCTGAACAAATATGCAGGAGGAAGTGGAGATGGATTGGGCATGCACTGAGAAGGCCGACTGAGGACACCACGCGTCAGTCCAGTTGCTCGAGTGGAATCCCCATGGGAAGTATGTGTTATCGCTTATATCCACACCTATCCTATAAAGCTGACTATATTGGAGGCTGTAGGTGAATCCTCTGGAAACGCTTTGTAGAACGCCACCAGGTTTGGTTAACCAAAAGCGAGCGGATAACAACAACATCTTCGTGTGAACACTTAATGAAGTCAGGTTATTCAGCTCCTCGAGACTAATCTTTCAACGTAATTCTCAGAGCTAAACTGACCTAATCCAAAGGTCTGTCCTTTCGTCACTCATGCATAGTTAAAGGACTCACTACCTTTATGCTATCGAAAGCGTAATCTATGCATTCAGTTGTTTTTTATGAAATCTCTATCTTGGGCTTAACGATGCTTTTTTTGTGTGAGTTTTATTCCATTCAGCTGACATATTTCGATTTATTGAACACTTCTTTTTGACCGTATTTGGTGCTTATTTTACCTCCTGAAGTCAGTTCTTTGTACACGGTCCTACGGAAAAGAACCGATGGTCGCAAAGTTTCTTTGTTGTATGGAAAGAGTCATGAATGAAACAGGATGATATGTCATTTCAGAACATGTTATTTGGCACTAGCTGCTTCACTGTGCACAGAAATCAGAGGCAGGGTATGTGAATTAGAAAGGGTAGAGCAAAAATAGTCCGTGTATGCTATGTTTAAGATTACAAAAAAGCAACAGAATTACTACATATTCAGCACTGTTATTGACTATGTATCGTATTACTTCTAGCCAGAGTGTCCGACCATTTCAAAATCTCCATCGAACCATCGTACAATAAAATATACCGCTTTATTCAGCGTCCACTGGGATCTTAGTTTGATAACACGTCTGGAGTGATTAGATATGTGATGTGGTAAAGCTGTATCGGGTATTGGAGTTCAACCATCTTTGAACTACAGGGAAACTGTAAGATAAGAGATTTTTACAGGCAAGTTTTGTAGTCTCTGAAATCCCTATTCAAAAGCTACATGAATTCAAGTCAGCATTCATATACCTCTAGCTACAGGTTTTTTCTGCTGATCTTGTCATCAGCCTAAGCTGTGGATTGTATTTTAATAGGCTAGTTAACTTGAAACATGACACAGCTATGCTAAAAACTAGCAGTCAATCTGTCAACGAGGACCTAAATGGCCATATCGACTAGTGAAAGTTAGTTAAAGTTCAATAATATTATCTCCAGATTGAGTTTATACTGAATGCTATTGCTGTAGCAACACTTCAGTGTCTTATGTATGCAGAATTGAATTACTTGCGATTATCTGTATTACTGGACGAGTATACTGTACTGTAGTCCATTGTCTCTTATTATACGGCTGTGACACATGGCCGTTGAACGTAGAAGGCACAAAGCAGTTACAGGTTTTCGATCACAGGTGTCTTCTTAACATTGCTCGCGTTTTGTGGAATCACGATGTGACCAATATTGAAGTCAGGCGAAGGGTACTAAGCAAGACAGGCAAGTCGATTGGTGTGATTGTGAACGCTCATCGACTGAGTTGCCTTGAATATATAACATGCTTCCCGAACAACCGCTTACCTCGACGTGCCATGCTAGGGGAAGCTGGATTAGGTTGGAAGAGTTTTCAGGGTGGCCAGACCAAGACGTAGCACCAGTGGAAGAAGCCTATGACCGTTGGTATGAGCCGTGTAGAGAGGTGTAGACTAACTAGCTTGGGTACGCGAGACGACAGGAATGAGCAGCTGAGGATTCTTGATGACTTGGCTGAAAATCGGTCACAATCGGGCAAATGTGTTCACTGACGTCTTTTGAAGCTTGAATATTTGGACTAAACTTTATCTTCAAATAGTTTATTCTCTCACACAACTTTGTCTACTTTGATATCAATCTCCTTCTATCAACTTATTCTTCGTATACTACTGTGAAGTGTTGCAATTTGAATCGATGCGTACTTGTGTGCGAGGTTCTCCGTTGATATAATCTATCTATCTGACTTGTAATTAACTATGATTATCTTTTGAAAGTAGACACGACTGTCATTTTAATTGATGATGAGCAGCTGGCAGTTGAACATTTCCGTCCACAGAGCATTGAATCATGAAAATTTAAGTATCAATTTATTTGTAACTGATTAGTCTTGTCTATGTAAAAATACTAAGGACTGAATGCATGCATAAGGTTTATAATGGTTTTCTATTGTTACCAAAATTTCAGAATGATATTCCATTGGCGAAAGAGATTGCTCAGAGTGATTTTCTGAATTCCAGTCTTCGTCGACAGTTGTGGATTCGACTAGGTATGTGAAGTAAAAATGTATAACACATTTGTTCATTGTTGCTAATTCTACCTCTCGTTACCTGTAGAGTCTTTGCAAACCTTGAAAATAAATAGTATGCTATACTATTGAAAGTTTTATATATGAGTAGAAAAGTCAGAGAATATTGATTTGTCAGTCAATGGATGTTTACAAATATCTGAAACGTTTGAAATGGTGTACTTCCTTGATCTGTCAGAGAATCTTATTCTTAAAACCATTAAATTTTATCCATAATACATAAGTAGATGAATGACTTCAACTCATCTTTTCTAAAGTGAGGTGTATGCTAAGTGAACAGATAGCAGTTACCTGTTCATTCAACAGCTATTCAAAGGATACAATGAGTGAAATGAGGATATAATATGATGAACAGTCTTCCAGACGAACTTGTATGATGGATTAATACTCATCTCGGTGACTAACAGTGGAATCCAACCAGTGTTTCGTTCTAGCTGCGACTCATTCGTCAGCTGGATGGACCTAGTACCCATTGTTTCAAATGCCACTTGGCCACTGTTAGAGTTTCAATTTGTTTTGAGGATGATTATTGGTTTGGTCTTCCGTTGTCAGTCCTAGTAATCATTACTTACGAGAACCTTACAAAAGCAGCCAGGTATCTTCATGTAAATTTTCATCTGAAACAATTAGTCCCTTTAATATAGTATGATATTGAAGCAGAGATTAAAATCTGTTATCAGTAAAACGTACTATGCGGCTCAGCTTATCATTGTTGAGACGACAAAACACCTGCTTCGCCACAAACCTCAACTCATAAATCACTACGTCACATCCCACTGTGTTTACCAACCTACATGTATGTGTGGGCACACATACATAGGGAGGAGTAATCGTTCAATGCAGACGAGTGGGCGAACACATACCTAAATGGCTTGAAAAGCAATTCAACACACAGACATAGATAAGTGCAGGTGACAGACATCCATCGTCATCTATAGCAAAACATATTATTGAAATGAATCACATGGTTAGTACAAAAACAGGAATAATCATGGGCGCATATTGAAGTTTGCCGAAGCGTTAGCCATCCGTAAACTTAATTCCCCGCTGTGTGTACAAAAACAATTTGTTGTTTCACTTAATTTACCTGGGTAATCCTAATCTGATTATATTACCAAGACTAGTGTCACAACCTTTTCATATTCATTATATTTGACCTTTGATTTTCACATATAAATTGACTTGACAAGCAAATGTGTGATCAGATTATTCGAAATGTATTACGTAAATACATCACATTTTCCAGATAATCTTCGTCTTCTAATAGCGTTATCGATGTTTAACTTACCTTGGAAATAAGATTTAATGTATGTTCTGCTGACTTAGAGGCACTGAATATCCGACAGCCATGTCATCAAGAGGCCCCAACCACTGATTCCTATCGTCTCGGAGACCCTAGATAGGAATTCTACCCCTCCCCCCTAAACGGCTCAGACCGACAGTGAAAGACTTCCTCAACTGGTGATATATCACGGTCTAGCTACCCTGAGCCTTCTTCCAACTAACCCACCTTCTGCCATCACTAAATGTAGAGGTAAACGGTGGCTCGTAGTATGCGCAAAATATAGTCAAGCCAACTCAGTCGCTATGGTTCACCACCTCGTTGACTGACTTGCTTGTCTTGCCTAGTACCCTTCTGCTGACATTAACACTGGTCACACTGGGATTCTACAAAACGCGAACAACGCTAGGAAGTCATCTGTGATCGAAAACCTGTAACCGCTTTATGTCTTCTACTTTCGATGGCGATGCGTCACAGCTGTAAAACAGGAAAAAACGGAATGCAGCGCAGTGTACTCGTCCTTTGATGGATATTCAGGTATCTCGCTGGCACCATAAATGACGGTGGTTAGAATGTTAGCTGTACAATAAGCGATAAATTGTACCCTTAGTAGGTCGTTGCTCTTGAATAATATGATACGCGGGGAAGGGGGGTGATTTAGCAGTAAAAATGAAGTCACTATATATATATATATATATATATATATATATATATATATATATATATATATATATATATATATATATATATATATATATATATATAGTCTTTTCTCCAGTCTTTTCCCAATTGAGGCTAAATGACTTGGATGCAGTGTTTATGTAGCAGTTCACGTAGAGAACCATCTTGATGTTCTCGACGGTGGTCACTGGTTTTTTTTTATTTAGTGGTGTCAGATGTATCTTAGTCGGTGATATTGGTAATCATACCGTCAGGGTGGTAGGGAATCAGTCGCTATCGTTTTGTTCAGTGCCATCTACCGTGCATCACTCCAACAATTCCATACTTAGCTTACTTCTCTTTGTTTACGAATGATCCAAATTGAATCACTCGTGGCTTCCAAATCGCCAACCTAATTTATAAGGCTGATGTTCCACAGGACTTCATTTAAGCTTGAATTCGTAATAACATTTATTTTAGTGTTTTTAAATTAACTAATTTTTTCACGGAGTTCTAACCGGTTTTCAGCGGAAACAGAGGTTCGTTCTCGTCTGCTGCTTAGAACTCAAGGTAGAAGGTAACCGTTGGAATGTATAATTCATGTTCTACGTCTGGCGGGACTTCGTTGTTAGAGTGTGGTCGTATTTCTTCAGGAGGAGAGCATTTGAGAGAACATTCTACATACACTCCTGTAAACACCACGTCATTTGTATGGGTGTTGCAGACTTTTGGTGCCTATAATGTACCGAGCTTGTGTATAATAAAAATCATATAACTAGATACATTAGCTGCGAGAACTCATATGAGGTAACCACTGCCATGGTTCACATTTGGATAGCGTAAACACCTAGTAGAGGTTTGTTCTGATAAGTATACTTATTAGTACAACTCAGTCATGAGCTGTAAGTTATTTAATTAGGCATTGAACTGTCTACACTTGCTGCATGAAGAATAAAAATGTTAATCTTTATTCTGTGTACAACAAACTGTACTGTGTCTGTGTCGTGTATGTCATCAAGCATCCTAACAGTGGGAACTATGGAATTTAGTATTCGGTGAATTAATTACATAATCACTCCTATTAAGCATCTGGTCTCGAAGTTTCTGTAGGTTGAATATGTTCTTCATTGCTTAACAACTCTTGAGCCCTTACCAATAATTAGTATCATTTAATATGGATCACTCCAGTCTCGTGGACTTCCCATTTGCGTCGAGGTGTGGTAACGAGCACATCACTACCTAGTTTGCAGAGTTGTTACTCATTGACCTAGGTACTCGACTGCAATCCCATGGGTCACGCGTTCGAATCCCGCCCCAAATACGAATTTTTGAGCAATCAGATAGCACCATGGGCCCTTACACAGTAGGCAGGGATAATTATTGACTCCATGAACGTGCACAAGTTTACTGAGTGTACTTCTATTTCTTTCGATTCGAGTTTGCAGAGGTGAGTTCTCGTCAGTATTTTTTTTCTACATAATTTTACAAACGATTTGTACTCCTCATCTCTTTCTTTTCACTCATAAACATTTTCGGCCAATACTTGCTACTTTAGCGCAGTATTCGGGCCTGTATTTGACAATGACTCCATCAGCTGTGTCCTTGATGGATACCTAGATGTGCGCAATTCCCCTGGTAATTCATCGCAGGCTCTAAAACACCCAGGGATGTTCGAATACAGAGCCTTCAATAGGGTAGTGTACTTATCTGTTCGATACACTCATAACCAGGTGTGGAACATACGTGGTTCTCTTGGTTTTCCTGTTCTTGAGCTCGAACTAGATGTCTAGTGGTTATATCTTAGACGCAGTGTTTCCTAGACTAATTCCGCTGTGTTTATCGCAAGGGGATTTTTCTCGTCTGACGAATAGTATCTGATTTCATAGTTTCAGGTTACTTATAATCTTTTCAACTTTCGCAAGAGTTGCGGGACTTATATCAGTACTTCTTCCAGTGTCCGTCTGCATAGCTGACAAAGAGATAGTAGCTGGTGGGCAGTTGAACTGTCCATCAGAGTTTTCTCCTATCGTCCTGCTAGTTTCCTCTGAATCGCAGACTAATCTTTCTCCACTACAGTCTCACTAAACATTAACCTTTTTGCACCATTTTTCTTGATAAGTTTAAATATTTGTCTAACGACACTTGCTGTCCTATTTCAAGGGGAATGTGCAAACTGAAAGTTCCAATGTGTTACTTGGAGCCTGGTTTCAGGGGACTATTGATACATTTTCGTGAACTCGAATTGCTACCGAAAGCTACAAAGCTGAGAAAATATTACAAATGACACATTAATTTCGACTTGGAGATGCGAGAAAAGATTAGAACACGGAAGACGTGGAAGGTGGGTAGTGAATGCGATGTTGGTAGCGTCAGTAGGATGCACCTTTCTGCTGTCGCATCCCGTCCAACCATCAGCACGACTTTGTCATTAGTCCTGCGTCAGTAAAATATTCCAGTAACTGCTTATTGTCTTACCATTATCTAAGACAGCTTTCTGGTAGGATAGGAACTGAAGCTAACAAACTTCCCCACTGAAATAGCTCTTCGGTCAGATATGCAATCCCGACCACTTCAAGATAACAGCTATCGGTAGGCACGTACATGTAACTTGGTAGAGACAGAGGCAATATGAGACGGGAACTTGTCGGCTTTCAGTCGTCGTATCGACGAGTTTGTTTAGTGGAAACAAACCAGCTCAGCCATACAATACCTCCTACTCATTCGGTCTGCATTTTATCTTTCCAGCGGTTTAGTCGCCTCTGAAACCAGTTTGTGTCGGGAAAGATTTTCATACCTAATACGTTGTGCTCTATTCCTTTACGCTTGATTTCCATCACCCATCGATACACTTCTTTGTATACCGATTAGTTCACTTAAATTTGTAACTGGATTTCTCAAGATAGTAGAAATCAGTGGTTCTACAACTTTGCTTACGTCTTCTCAAGTTTAAACATTTTCGTTAACCATCATTTTTCGAATTCTCTCTTCTGCTATACACTTTTGTCTACTTTAATATTACTTTTTTGCTCACTTATGTTCTCCATGCTTCTGTGTAGTGTGGCAATCTGTGTACGAAGTTCTATGTCGTTTCCATTTATCTTTCCATCTTCTCTTTCTGTTATTAACATAGCCCAACACATTATCAGTACTAACGGAAATATGCAAGAAGCTATTAATTTATTACGTGAATGCCCTCTATTGAAGTTGGAAGATATTCTTCCTTATTTCCATCAATTTGTTACAATTGATCAATTTAAAGTGAGTTTTCTCCTGCTTATTTCCTAGGTTTCAATGTAATCTATTCGAAACAGCATTAAAGTTAGGATAGACATACTCTGCAGTACATTGTCCCACTTTTGTTTTTTGCATGTAGTTCCAGTTAAACACTAAACTCATTGCTTAAATGATATTTGAAAGAACAAAGAATATTCTTTTTGATAACTTTTTTTTCAGGTCCTACATTTATATAACAGTAGTGAGATTCCCTATAACACATTTAGTTAATAATATTATACAATTGTGGAATTGTCTTCAGACGACCATACCTTCAGAACTAAAAATTACTAGGATTAACAAAAAGACCGTCACAGCGAAGAAAACGTTTTCTTTTCGATGAAGTCATTTACTCCTAAGTTTGTAAGTTCGCGAATATGAAGGGTAGAGAATTCCAGAACTGCTTATGATCATGCGTCAAAATATATTGGGTAACGAGAGAAAATTACGTAATACAAATGAGAGTTTGTTTACATTAAGAAAATAAGCAAGGGCTTATGTAAACTAAAGTGTGATTACATAATACAGGATTAATATACTTCAGTCAAGGCCTTATGACGGCCACGTCAGAGAAAAAGGTTGAACGTACCTTTGTTGGACACAATCTTGGCTTGAACCTCTAAATGAGGCTGGTGCTTCAGCTATAACCAAATGCCTTGATTTCACTCTCTTTGAGTGGCTTATTGAAACTCTGTAGAGGATTTGAATGATTCCTCGAAAGGAGCTAAATGGCTTGAGTTCACAAGGTGTTTTGTTATTAAGCCCAAGATACATTCCCGTTTTTCCTTTGCTAGCCAGGCTCGCTAGTGTTCATAAGCGGGTGCATGGTACGGGCGATGTACCCAGCTCTACACGAACAAGTGAACTGGAATACACACACTGATATGACCCCATGTGTCAGCTTGTCTTTCACACTTGGACCAAAACGTTTCTTGCAGAAGAAAATGATTCCAAGGTTGATAGGGGAGTATGTTCTATTTTAGGATCTTTACAGTCATTTTTAAGGATGCTTGCAGCTTAAGAAGACGTCAAAGAGTTGATACATCTGCGTCACTGTGGCCGATTTCCAGCCATGTCACCGAAACTCCTCAAACACTGATTCGTTTCTTCTCGAGGACCTCAACCAGGTAGTCTACATTGCCCTACACGACTCATACCAACAGTCAGGAACTTCATGGACTGGTACCACGTCTTAGTCTGTCCAACTTGTACCCTCTTTCAACCTACTCCGACTTTCCCACCTAGCTGGCACGTCGAGGTAGTCGATGATTCGGCATGCACAGTACGTGTCCAAGCCGCCTCAGTCGACCAAAGTTCAAAACCTCATCAATCGACTTGCCTCTCTTGCCTAATACCTTTCGTTTGACCTCACCATTTGGCACTATAGATGACGCAAGTTGAGAAATGCCAAATAGGCCTTCTGTATCCGAGCTATTTCGTCAGAAACCAGCCCGTTTGGACTGATGTAACTCCCAAAGCGAGTGAAGTGGTTGACATATTTAACCACTTTACTCGCCATCCCTAAACTGGGAGTAGTTGTAGACTAGTCCTTGAGCACGATCCCACGTTTGACAAGTGAGGTCGAAACCCATGCCAAACATTCTCAGATATCTGCTCAGTGCGTTTGAAAACCCTGCATTTTGTCAGTGTCTTAACCTCGCAAGACAATATCGTCTGCATACTCCAAATCAACCAGATGGCCTTCAGGTTAGGTTATTAGGATGAGGGAATATCGAAACAATGTGGAACTTGAAAATTAGGTTACTTCAGGGTTAGGATGTGGAGGTTTATGAATCCAAAATGAGGCCAAGGCATTTGTACCGGCAACACCTACTTTCTCTGAACACGTAACTCGGGTTTTTGTTTGGTCCTAATTCCCACGGCTTCTGCAGTTTGAAGAACTAGAAGCTGGGTGCCTTCTGGAAAGTTGGAGAAAACCCGATAAGTAATGGAAAATAACTTATTTGTATCCACCGTGTGTTTCGTTTAAACTAAGTGTGCTGCTTTAACCACACTTGTAAGTACTAATGAGCACAGGAAATTAAACTCATAGAGCAGCAGTAGACGTAAGTGTTTTCGCAGGAGCAATCGACCCGATAAACACAACAGAAAGCTGCTAGTCTAAGTAGTTCCTTTTTCAGTTTCGGTCTCATCATTGTGCATATGTGAAGTGTAATTTATAATTTACTAGCAATGAAAGTTCTTTGAAGTTGATCTGAGTAGTTTATGAATTAATATTTCGCTAGGGATATCACTTATAAGTTGTACCCGAATGCATAGAGGTTTTCTGTTAACCATTGGAATACCTTTTCTTGCTGTTTTCGTAATAATTTGTTACTCTGTGGATTCATCAGGATAGGCATAACATACAGCCTTCATTCTGATATGTAGAGTCTGTATCAAATATCGTTTGTACTGAAGGAGGGCGAGACTAAGAAAATATGCATATCGTTTCGTTCACGTGCTTTTCCTAAGCAATTTTCCATCATTTACAAATTTTTAATAGCCTCTTTGTGTTTTTCTAGTTGGATTTCTTTTACAGATGTGTTTTCTGAGCTTACATTGACGGCAACAGTCAACCAGATTAGATTTTAAACATTTTGGTTCTAGACTGGGTAGTGATACATATATATACACCATAGATCTTAATTTCACTTTCATCACTAAGGGTTATGCCCAACTATCCGTTCATTGTATTCACGCTGTGGTTCACAGGTTAAATGTTGTACAGTTTTTGTAATTGAATGATAAATGAATACTGATTAAATAATTAATTTTGTTGTGTAGACTTAATTTTCATACTAACTGAATGAAAATTTTCAGTTATCATCTCTAGTGCATCTTACTATTTCACATACATAGTAAAAATAGTAGGAGAATGTACTTTTTCAGGTTGGTATTCTATCATTGATGACGTGCTTCGGGGGTGTGATTTCTGAAGTTCCAATGACAAATCGTGATTGGTTGAGCCAGCGAAGTTGGATGTGAAGGCAATTACTCAGCGACAGCATTGGTTAGAGGTCGCGTTGTTTCATGAACTGAAAGAAGTAGAAAATGTAGACCATCGGATTCTGAGACAGTTGCTCAGTGGCAACGTGCTGGCTGCATAACTTGAGGTTATGGGTTTGACCGCTGGTGGGGCGGGTCATGGATGCGCGCTACTGAGGAGTCCATGCTAGGAAGAAACCACTGTCCAGTGCCAACATTTTCCAATGTTTCTTCAACTGATGTCATTCAATGGCGAATACCAATGTGAAATCAATAAACAAATCTTGACAAACCTTCAAATCAAATATACTTTTCATCAATTCTTGGCCATCCTGTCAGTTTTTATTGAATGCGTTTTTGCTAACAAACCAGTTATCGTCGATTTCCGTTAACTGTCCAATTGGTATTGGATGAAATTTAGTATCCAGATTATTTTGAAGTTTGGTAGCCACATACGTGTTCATGTATTGTGCTTTAGTTCACTTTTGTATTTATGCTTGATTCGCGTTGTTTTATACCTGATTCTGGAAAGCAGTTCGTTTCACACACCTCTTCTGATTGTTTTATGTAGGCCTGATTTCATCAGTTGTTGTTGTCTACAGTCTTCAGTTTGAGTGTTAACGTGAATTCTGTGCTACATAGACTATGCTTCTTCATCAGTGTGACCTCACTTGAGGACGTCGGACTGTAATAACCCTGACCTTGAGGTATGCAGATGATATTAATCGGCTAGCTGAAGACGCCGAGAAAATACAGGATCTTATGAACTTGCTGAGCACAAATCTGAGTACGTTTGGATTACACTTCGCAGGACTGGTCTGCAACTACTCCTGATTTGAGTTGGTGGAATGCGTCGACAACTTCATTTACTTCGGGAGTTGTGTCAGTCCGATTAGTCTGGTTGCTGACGTAATCTCAGCTCGGATATAGAGGACCCATTTGGTCTTTTTTCAACTGACATCATCTCTAGCTAGGTGTGGACTACTTATTAGAATGTGAGTATACTGCGCTACAGTCCCTTCTATCCTTTTATCCGTCTGTTAGACGCGGTTGGCAAAAGTAGAAGACGAAGTGGTTACAGGATTTTCATCGCAGATGTCTTCGTAACACTGCTCTCGTCTGGTGGAATCAGCTTGTGAGCAATGTTGAGGTCAGGCGAAAAGTACCAAAAAGGAAAGGAAAGTCAGTCGACGGGGTTCGGAACTTTCACTGACTGAAATGACTTTGACATGTGCTACACATGCTACGAGTCGCCGCCAACCTTGAGGTGCCATGCTAGGGGAAGTTAGATTAGTTTGGAGGAGGGTTCCGGGTGACCAGAATAAGACGTGGTACTGGTGCATGAAGTCTCTGTCTGTTGGTCTGAGTCGTTTAGGGAGAAGTAGACTACCTAGTTGAGGACTGTTAGTGACATAGCTGAAAATCGGTTACAGTGGATGTTTTAATTAACCCTAATTTTTAAATAACCTTTCCTTTCATACACCTTTGTCTACTTTGATATTAATCCCTTTCCATTCAATCTTTCTCTGTATACTATTGTGAAGTGTGAAATCTCTAGACGATCCACTTGTATACGAGGTTCCTTGATGATTTTGTCCGTTTATCTGTCCATCTGCCATCCTGTCTATCTGTTTACTTGTTCTATCTAAATTCCTGAAAGTAGACTGAACAATGCAGAATTTCATGAAAATATCCTCAAGAATTTTTAATATTCAGTGATTTGTTAATTGTTATTTATTCTAAGATTTAATTAGGTGGTTTTGAATTCGGAAAAAACTTTTGTGTAGACGTGTTGCCTCTCTCCTGAAAAGCTGTGACATGTTTATCTAGCGATGGTGCTTAAACAGTTTACATGTTGTAGCTCAGCTTATTTCTTTTTGTCTCGAAAAATTGATTCGTGCTCATTAACTTGGTGCACCCTTATGCTGTAGATAATGAGCAACACCTCTAGTTTGACAGTAAATAATACAACCTGACTACCCACACCATCAACATAGAACGAGGTATCACTGCATAACGGTAGAAGTTACTACACTTCATATTAGGACACCGAGCGGGAAAATACTAAAGTGAAGGATAATTTAAAAAGAGACGAATCCGCCGAAGCAGTAGAAAGTAGAGGAAGAGAAAGGAGGAATTAGAAAATACTGACTTCAGCAAAGCTGACAGACCGACCAGGGTTAATCCGACTTTCTAGGTAGGTGAAGTGATTGACGCACTCATTCGCTCCTCTCCATTGTTAAACAGGGCACCGGTGTAGCCCAGTCTTGAAGCAACAGCTTGCGTTTGGGTGGTGATAAACTCATCTCAGACGTCCCTAAATTGTTACTCAATGTGTCCAGAAGAGTCTGCGTCTTCATGCAACTAGACTATGTCATCTGCATACACTTGGTCTGCTGAGTATTCCTCTGTGAAGTCAGACGACGAGAAGAAGATCTATAAGTTCTTATACGATAAATTTGAGTTAGAATGTAGAGAGTTAACATCCTTGACGGACACCACTCAACGTGCATAACTCACCATAGGCCCTATCACATCCAGAGCCTTCAATGGAGTGACGTAATTACTCGACACCCTTTTTAGTGCGAGACATTGCTCGCACCTCAGTACATAAAGCGGTGTTCGAACCGGTGATCCATTGTTTGCAAGTCAATTCCTTTGACCATGTGCTACAGTTCCATTCTTTTTGTTTAAGATATGTTATTTATTTTTTTGTTTTCTTTCTCCCACATTTCTCTTCATAATGATAAAGGACTTAATTTGTACTTCATTGGACTCGTATAATGAGCGAATTGAAAATGTGAAAAATGAAATGCAAACAACAATGAAAACGATAGATGAACTGCGTTTACAATCGAGTAACCTACGTTATAGGTGAGTTTTTTTTGCTGCTGCAGTTTTACCTACATTAAAGTATGCATGATCAATCTGTATCATTTTGCAGATCAAGTTTCTGAATCTTTGAGTCTCAGTGTTGCATTGTTTTGTGTCTTCTATTCCTGTGAAGAGTTTCGAGCCTGGGTGGGACAGTTATTTGTTTGGTTTAATTCTCTATTTGATAACTTCAAGAAAATTTCAGGTTATCGTCCACCATCCTACCACATTCTACGCCGACCATTTCTACTTTTTTTCTACCAGTTACATGTCTGACAAGTAGGAAGAGATATGGAAGCCACGGGAACCGCATTTGTAATTCACCCTAACCATCAGAGCTTATGTTTCAAACAGAAAATGAATATCTGCATCGGAGCTGAAAAATGTATCACTAGACCTCTTTGTGAATTAAATCGTGTTTTCATCAGACTTGAATCATCAAACACGCAAAAATCGTCAGTCATCCTCCGCTTAAAGAGGCTTCAGCTGAATTATCACAACTTCATAGACAAATTGACTTTTCGACCACTTTTGTGAGATCATTAGCCAGCCTTTAGCACTCACATTAAGACGTGTTCAAAGTTGAGACATGTACTGTGGAAGAAAGAGCGATTACACATGTACCTGCATCCCGACCCATAGCTGCTACCTTGACGTGGTGGTCGGGCTTGCATATCACAATGACCCAACGAGCTATGCTGGTGGAACGCTTGTTCCCTCGAGGTCCTACCATACCAGAAAGGTCCGTTGGATAGTGGTTAGACGAAAAGCAGTTACCGTTGTAGTGTAAATTGCTACACTATGATGGGGGTCTGAGGGCGAAGTCGTACTGCTGCTAGCTGGATGGGGTGTGACAGCAGTAAGGTGTTTCCCTTGGATGACCAGCAGTGCCATGCTGATGCTGCCTTCTCAGTGGAAGGGGGGGTTAGAAAAGGTCGGCCCCCAAAATAACACACTCCATCACACCCCACGGTCTGCTGGGCCGGCGGTGTTGGTTCACTTGTCGTTTCCTTTCGACCATCCGGCCCCAAAACAACAAACGTTCAAAATAATCATACTCAAAAGGCTTCGTGTGACAGGCCTCAAGCAGATGTCCGATGGGCTCTGCGGTCACACAAATCTCTTTCAGGTACCTTAAGAAGAAATAGCCTTCCACGGTGTGGGCAGCCGGGAGTGTCAACCGCCCTCACAACTCTGTCAGCACCCAAGTTTCCTCTGACTGCTATCCACCTCCTCCATCATTACCTTCTAATCTTCCTTCCTTCACGTCTCTCAATTAATGATGCTGCATCATCTTCAATTTCTCCTACCTCTGCAGCCTTCGACAACGATCTGAGTCCACAGAACAGCATCCCTGGTCTCCTTAAACCACGCTCCAAATTACATATTGGAGCCTTCAATGTCACCACCCTCCATCAAATTGGTCAAAGACTCTAGCAACTCGGCCATGGATGTGTGCTGTGTTTGTGAGACACGCATACAGGACCCAAGTGTGGTTATTCACCTGACCTCTCCTGACCAATCTGGTGAATCCACAAAATTCACCCTTCGAGTTTCTGGAGATTCGATAGCTAGCTCTCGTGGTCTTGCAGGTGTAGGTATAGCATTAAGCACTAGGGCAGAAAACTCACTACTAGACTGGATCCCAGTTGATAGTCGCCTCTGCGCTATGAGGCTGAACGGCACAGTGAGAACTAAAAGGAATAGTGAGACTCGCCGTTGTCTCTTTGTAATCTCTGCTTACGCACCCACTGACTGCAGTTCGGATGAAGTGAAGGACGAGTTCTACCATAAACTGTCTAACCTCCTCTCGAAAGCCAAACGTTCGGACCCACTGGTTGTTGCAGGTGACCTCAACGCACAGGTGGGTAGACTGAGTGAGGCAGAAAGGCACTTAGGTGGCACTTTCGGAATCCCAGCTGAACGTACAGATAACGGTGATCGCCTATTACAACTATGCTCAGATAACCGCCTATTTTTAGCCAGCACAAATTTCAGACATAAAGAAAGGCACTGTCTGACCTGGCGTCCACCGAGCTCGACTCAGCGATGGACACAGATAGACCACATTGCTATTAGTCATCGCTGGAGAGGATCGGTGGAAGACTGCCGCTCCTTCTGGAGTACGTGTTTGGACAGCGATCATGCGTTGGTCCGAGCACGTATATGCCTGCGTCTCAATGGACGTAGAAAAAATTTGGCAACAAAACCACTACGAGTGCTGCTGGACAACGAAAACACCAAAGCCGTGTTCAGTGAGAAGTTGGCTAGGCAGTTATCGGAACAAAAGACTGTCACTCATCCAGAAGAAGCTTGGTGCCATCTTCAGTCTGCTGTAAAAGCAGCACTGGAGACTGTAGCCGACTCCAAAATAATGGCTAAAAAGAGCCAGTGGATATCAGCAGCTTCTTCCAAACTAATGGATGCACGTGAATGCATCCCTGCAGGCTCTGAGTACAATGAAGAGCGAGCGCAACTTAAAAATAGACTGACGAAAAGTCTGCGCAACGATCGTGAACAGTGGTGGGCAGCAAAGGCTAAAGAGATGGAAAAGGCAGCGGCGATCGGTAACAGTAGACAGTTATTTAGACTTATTAAGGAGACTGGGGGGAAATGGTCAACAACAGTTAGTGAGGTTATAGCGGAGAAGGACGGATCTGATTCACTCGCAGGGAAGGCGACTGGAACGATGGGCAGAACACTTTGAGGAACAGTTTAACTGGCCTCCAGCCACCATTGCGCTGCCCGCTATCCAGTCGGACCCTGAATGGGACATAGAGACAGGCCCCCAACACTAGAAGAAGTTGAGAAAGCGGTAGGTAGCCTGAAACGGGAAGGGCAGCAGGACCAGACGGACTACCTGCTGAGGTATACAAGAATGGTGGTAGAGTTCTCTTAGTCAGGCTAACGGAAGTGTTAGCCAGTATATGGGAATCAAATACGATCCCCTCCGACTGGTCTAAGTCACTCATCATCCCAGTCTTCAAGAAAGGCGAGAAGTCCTCTTGTGATAACCACAGAGGAATCAGCCTGACAAACATAGTGTCTAAGATCCTAAGTTCTATAATTCTCCGACGCCTGAGTGGAGCTCGGGAACAGCAAGCCCGAGAAAACCAGGCAGGCTTTAGACCTGGCCGTGGATGTATCGACCAAATATTCACACTGCGCCAGGTCCTGGAACATAGGCATGCTTACAGACGCCCGACAATAGCTGTATTTCTCGACCTGAAGGCGGCATTTGACTCCGTTGATCGAGAAGTCTTATGGCAGTGTCTGTCACTGAAAGGCGTGCCTAGTAAGTACATCACCTTATTGAAAGCTCTCTACTCGAACACTTGTGGGCATGTTAGAGCCTATGGTGAGTTGTCCAGGGAGCTATACTCATCAAGTGGTGTCCGTCAAGGATGCCCACTATCTCCATTCTTATTTAATTTTATCATAGATATTCTTATGGAGGTTTTTCTCTCGTCACCTAATTACAGAGACGTTGACCTGACCACAGGTGAATTTTCCTTAGATCTAGAATATGCAGATGACATAGTCCTGTTAGGTGTACACGCTGACAAGATGCAGAGTCTTCTGAACACTTTGAGTGGGAATTTGAGAATGTTTGGGATGCGATTTTCACCACCCAAATGCAAATTTTTGCTCCAGGACTGGTCTTCAACGGTGCCACAACTAACAGTAGAGAGTGAAGTGGTTGAGTGTGTTGACCACTTCACTTACCTGGGAAGTAGGATCAACCCTGACCTGGTGGCTAGCTCACTGGCAGATGAAATCTCTGCACGGATACAAAGGGCTCGGTTGGCTTTTGACAATTTACACCACCTGTGGCGCCGCCGTGACATCCGATTGTCTACTAAGTGTAGCAAGTACTGCACAGCAGTACGGTCTGCTCTACTGTATGACTGTGAAACATGGCCATTGAAAGTGGAAGATATAAGAAGGCTTCAGATGTTTGACCACCGTTGTCTTCGTAGTATAGGCCGTATTCCATGGTGTCACCACGTGAGTAATTCACAAGTCAGGTGTAGAGTTTTGTGGAGAAGAGATAAGTCAGTCGACTAGGTTGTGAACCTTCATCGACTGAGATGGTTGGCTGGGACACGTACTACGTATGCCTAGTCACCGTCTGCCTCGTCACACAATGTTGGCCGAAGTGGGTCCAGGCTGGAAGAAGGCTCGAGGTGGCCAGACTAAAATATGGCATCAATGTATTAAGTCTCTGACTGTTGGTTTAAGCCATGTAGGACGATGCAGACTAAGTGGTTGGGCTCCGTGGGACAAGAGGAACCAGTGGTTAGAGACTCTAGGTGATATGGCTCAGAACCGATGTCGGTGGCGCAGATGTATCATCATCATTATCAACATAGGACCAGGCATTACTGCGAACGGTCCGAGTTGCCACACCTCATATCAGCACATCAAGTAAAAAGGTAGTGGGGTGAAGAATGAAGATAAGTGAATGCAGTCAAAAGAAATATAAAGTACGAGAAGAAAGGAAAGAGGAGTGACAAAATAGTGAGATTCGGTATTGCGTTGTTAAGATGAGGATAATCTGTGTATACATCTGCGCCACTGACATCGGTTCTGAGCCATATCACCTAGAGTCTCTAACCACTGGTTCCTCTTGTCCCACGGACCCCAACCACTTAGTCTGCATCGTCCTACATGGCTTAAACCAACAGTCAGAGACTTAATACATTGATGCCATATTTTAGTCTGGCCACCTCGAGCCTTCTTCCAGCCTGGACCCACTTCGGCCAACATTGTGTGACGAGGCAGACGGTGACTAGGCATACGTAGTACGTGTCCCAGCCAACCATCTCAGTCGATGAAGGTTCACAACCTAGTCGACTGACTTATCTCTTCTCCACAAAACTCTACACCTGACTTGTGAATTACTCACGTGGTGCGGTGACACCATGGAATACGGCCTATACTACGAAGACAACGGTGGTCAAACATCTGAAGCCTTCTTATATCTTCCACTTTCAATG